TAAAGGCCTGTTTTGTCTGACAGGGAGCTTCCAAAATGTCTGCTCTGAATGCCTAAGTGAAACAGGAGAATAAAATATCTGATGAAAGAATGCATCATTTACCCGGTAAAGACTCAACAAAGATGTCCCTCAAAGAGGACCACATACTGCGCTGTATGATGGGAACACTCTCAAAGTGTGCTGACTCTGGTGGAAAAAAATGACATACCCTTCATTACTGAAGTTAACCTGTGCCAATACCCAAGGTCAGCAAATTAGGTAGTTGAGCCACAGATCTGCCCTGGGGTTAGTGGGGAAGCTACTTATGGGATGTTTAAGTGAAAAGCCAGCCTTTGTCCAAGAGGGCATCAGATTGTCATGGCTATGCTTTATCAACTTTGATGACAGCAAACTATCGCTTTCATCTCTACAGTTGCCTCAAGAAAAAAATAAGAACTGGTCATTAAATTCCAGCATTTAATTTGGCTTGGCCCATTGTACTGAGAAGGCTGATGATACCTTAATGTTTGTCTGTGTGCAATAAGTGTGTGTGCAATTCTTGACTTGTATTGCTGCAGAGAAAACATATTTTTCTTCGTATTTATATTTTGGCTTCTATATTCGCACAGTAAAAATTTAGCCAAGAGCTAAAAAAAATGGATTTCGTTTAAATTTGTTTTTGCCTTCTCACTAGCTTTTTCCTGCTCACTAGGGAGACAGAATGTCAGCAAAATAGATTGCATTATCTAAAAGAAAGAATAACTTTGATTTATATAAAGCACTAAAATGCTATAAACCATACATACGCAGTCTGAAAAAATGTGTTTATGAAGTAGTATTTTTCCAGAAGACGTGGACTTGCAGTAAGACAATCATTTGGCTTGAAAACAGTTCACCACAAAGTGCTTGGAATGAAATATATCATTATTTTAATCTAGTGACTTTTGAAGTGCCTGGATGATTTGCTTGGGGGAATTCTGGCCAAAGTTTCTATTAAAAATCTCCATGATGAATGTGGGGGCAAGGGAAGAGACACTTTGATATGAATCTCTTCAGCGGGTACCATGACATTGTGATCTCTTCTCTTGTGTTCAGAAAGCAGAACCGAGGCGCATCCATCACATAAAATCTTTTCTTGAATGAAGATCAGATGGGACAAGTTGAACAACAGTGGCTTAAAAGTCATGGAATGTTCACTAATGTTCCCAACTCTTTGATCAACCGTCCACGACATGGTGACATATTTTGAACAATCCACCGAGAGTAAGGTACCCTCCCCCCTGGTCATGGTGTTTAAGTCGCACAAAAAAGGGACCCCCAGACGCAATTTTTATGTTCAAGCTTGTTTTTGTTGCTGAGTTTTGCTGTTGTTACTCCATAAGGTTTTGTGCACTATGTACATAAACTGGAGGCAATTGACATACTCCTCTTTGATCAGTAGTACCTCTTCGGAACCAGGCAAAGGATATGTTTGTTTTTCCTACAAAAAGAGATGCATTTGTGGCTCTGCTATCACTCAGTCTGTTTGCTCATGTTTTCGTGTTTTCGTATTTGCTCAAATTCTCTTTTTAGGGTATGAGTCATAAGATTGCTGAATGTCTCATTTTGTGTATTAACTCAAGGAATTATCTTAAATTCTTTAAATAATACATTTGTGATGTAAGTCATCTTAGATAAGACAGACAAGCAGTGTAAATGACAAATGAAAAATTAATTTCAGTTTTGCATGATCAATGTTTGCTATTAAGGAGGAATCCCAAGTAAAACCCTTCATGAAACTGGAAATATTTATAAAACTGCGGACATTGCTGCCCTTAAGCCTCCCAAAAATCTGTATCTTTTTTATTTGAGTAAATCTTTCCTCCTTATTGCAGAGATTTGATAGGTTCTCACCCATGTCAGCAGTTTAATACGCAACCAGATTAAGGGGGAAGTCTGGGTTTATGTGTCACCCAATGTCTGATTTCTCAGTAGAGTCCCCCAAATGCGATTTATTCATGATCAATAGCACCGTGGCTTTAGGAATTCATGGTATACTGAGCTGCATTTAGATGTGTTTCAAACTTAAAAACAGTTTCTACATGGAAGCAGACAACTGAATTAATTCACCAGGGATTTGCATGCCGGAGATCAAGTGGGATTGCTTTGTCATTTAGACCTAATGTCATGCAAACATTTTAGTCTCTGCTGTATAATTTGGTCTGTATGGTGTCATTTAGACTGTTGTAACTTAAAACTTGTCTGAATGCATCTTTTCTTGCTACAAACCCTCTGGGCCGCCATAAACAAAATTAATCTACAGTAACCCAGTTAATATTGAACTTGATGCTACTGTCATTGCTACTGATCTATTGTTTATTTATAGAGACTGTATGATGTTATCCTGAATATGAGAAGCTTTTGTAGAAAGCAAAAATAAGACATATAGAAAACTTTTTTGTAAAGACCTTTTGGTAGTTCAACAGTTGTTATAAACACAGTTTTCAAAGATGGGAAGAAAGAGTCTGTTTTCTGCTAAATGAAAAGGGCTGTTACTTTCTCGGACAGAACTAAGAAAAAAAAAGAAAAAAGGAGAAAAATTGAAAAATGCAATTATCTGTCTGTCAACGTGACTCAGAAGCTGTACATCCCAGGTGAGATACTAAAGGACTTCCTTTTGTTATGCCTTGCACGGCATCCGATATGTAACTAACTGGATTTTCTCAGCTGCTCTTTCCTCGCCAAGTGTTGCAATTATCTTTATAATTACATTTTTATGTTGTTGTAGGAAGTCATGCTTGTAATGTTGTAAAAACTGTGCCGACTGTGTTGTCTCTGGAGACCCAGTTGCCTTGTGAAAAATTAAAAAAAAATGATGCCAATTTTATCAGTGAATAAAAATGAAGTATAGCAAAATAAAAGCAAATTAAAATGGATATACATTTCAATTTCTTTTTGTCTTGAAAAAGGAGTAAGAAAAACCAGGTCAAATGTTGAGTTTAGATATGCAAAGAATACACTAGTGCATTTTTGCTATCAGTTATCAATATTTTTTCAAAAACATGAAATGGATTATCAGGTTTCAAGAAATTCAATATATATCTGATTAGGTTTTATCTTCTTTGTGTGGACTCAGAAATGCCCAGGACCAGAGCTTAATTTCAAAGAAAAGTACATTGATCAGTGGCAGGGATTTCTGAGGGAAATGAATAATAACAACAATAATTATTATTATAATGGTATTAATGACTAATCGATAATGATTATGCCATTTTATGTGATTAATGGGAATACAATGGCAGTCTTCCATGCTTGCAATATTGAGTTTGTTGCACAAAGGCTTTGATATGAACAATTTACAGCAATGATTGCAACAATTATTTGTCTAAGTATTTTGATACAATTCATATCATTTCTTTTGTTGTTTTTTTTTTTTTTTTTTTTCGATAATGGAGGATGAAAGAGGTGCACTCATTTACTTCTTTTCATGTTGTTTATTTTGATTAATGTGTGACTAAATTGGTACAAGTTCCTTCCTTTAAACAATTTCATGCCAAGTATTTTTTTTTTCATGATAAATATGATAAACTTGATTTCCGTGGTAATAAAAATATATAAAATTGGTGACTTGGCCAAATACTGTACTTCCCCTGAGATAGAATATTGTATGAAGGGTTTTTAGAATTAGAGATTGCTAAAAAAAATGGCTGTAATGAAAATTAAAATGATACTGTGAACAGAATCCCTCACTGTTGTGTATGGACTGCATGTTTACTGCCGATAACTTTGATGTTGTTTGTCTTTTTCCTTGTACAAAAAGTCCTTTATGAACATTTCTTTGTGATGTGATACATAAAACCAGCCATAATTATTCAGTTTACAAATTGTAGAGAAAAAAAGCACAAGCTGTCCTTGTTTATGGGGCATAGTTTACCTGGTTTCACCTTTCGGACAATAATATTAGGCTCAAGTTTCCAATCAATTGCCACACTATCAGTTAGAACATGGAGATGGTGAATTCACAGAGCTTTGACATTGGCAGGGGTTCCACCGCTCATCATAATCGAGTTTTGGAAGCCATTTTATCAGAGGCGAGTGTCTCAGTAGGGTTATTGATTGGCTGAGATGGCCCAGAAGATGGGCACTTAGATTTATTAGCAAATCTGGTCCAATTTAAACTTCAATGAATTTATAGCCACTAAACAAAATTGGATTGAAAAGTGATTTTCATATGTGTAAGGGTACACATACATTTATTTGTTTTGTACGTAGCATTTTTTTACTGTATCTCGTAGAGCATTGAAGATGAGTCGAGTTCAGGAGCAGTTTTCTCTGAATAATTTGATATAACATTACTACATGCCCTGTGTGGAGACAACTCTGGTATCATCTGGGCTAATATCCCAATGTTGGTTATTTTCATCTCATTGAGATTACGCTATCTTCATCTTGTTCCATCAGATCTCCACAATCTAACATGAGGCCATCTGTGCTAGTAGTCAGTTCTAGACCTGACATTCTGTGTCAAATTTGTAACAGAATGATAATTCAGTGAAGTCGAGGGTCAGTTGGTGATCTTATTATCTTGACCCCTGGGTCCCTTAGTGTGAGATAGATTTCCTCTTTCATTATGAGGCAAATCCCTGGAAACTTCCTTGGAATAAGTAAGATATTGCTTTTTCATTGAGTTTAGGCACCAATCAGTTTTGGGCCGTGACGTCCTCCTCCTAATGGATTGAGCGGCTTCGGCTCTTGAATCATAATGGAATGAGTGACTGATCTGATGTATAAGAAAACCAACGTCCCTTATGTGTATGATCTGAAATTTGTCAAGGCTCGATATTTTCTGACATTTGTTCTGTAAATATTGATATATAATTTCTGTGTATTATATATAAATGCAATATTGCCTTAAGAAACCAGTATAAAATGTGAATGTATTCAATAAGTCAATAGTTTGAAAAACTTTTGAGTAAATGCTTTAATTTGTTTTATCAAAATTAATTATGATTTAACCATTTCTGTTGTTTCTGTATTCTCAGAATTCGTACAGACCAGAAAGGGGGCGCATGGTGTCCGCTCCATCAGATCTCGGCCGACGTTTATGAGTTTCTTCAGATCGACCTCCAGTCTCTGCACGTGATTTCGTTGGTGGAGACCCAGGGACGGTTTGGAAATGGGCAGGTTAGTGATACATGCATGCACATACACACAGATACCCGCTAACACACACTTAACAAATATGACCATGTAGAAAATCTCTTTTTGTGTGAAACATTCTGTTGATTTTCCATGATAACTTCTGAGTTCTGACCTTATCAATAAAATACTTTGAACATTTAAATATTATGGGTCTTCTTACACTATATTTTAATGATTAAATTTGTGGAAATTTAAATAGCACCATGGAATGAAAATGCATGCGCATTGAAATGGCCAGCATTTAACATAAAAAAAATCATTGCTTTGATAGAAAGTACAGAAAAGTCTGCAGGCAAGGGGTTCCAGAGTCTGAAAACATGCCACATTTTCTTGATAGATGGGGGAGTTTTAATGTGAATTACCAGTGTTGTCTGTGCTCTGAGCACATCTGTCAATGACAGCATATTACAGGACGGAATATTGCAACAGAATTGCTTCAGGGGAAAATCAATAGAAGAAGAACCCAGCTGCATTAACCTTCAGAAGTTTACAGCTGCCACGCTCTGGAAAGATGCTATTGTTGTTGTTGTTGTTTTAATTATTCTTTATTTATTGTATTGCAGAATTTTTCTTACTGAAAAGAGCCATATTTCTTTCACATTTAGTCATAACTCTTATGTAATGCTTTAGAAAGATGCTTTTATTTTCAGTGTTCATTTTTCCTGGATTTGTCTGTTTTATAATATTTTTTGTACCTTTTTTCCTTTTATTCCATCCTTATTTATGTTACTGCTTATACATTTATGCATGACAGTTGTCAAAATGCAAAGGGCATCTCTGTCTTATGCATTGACCATTAAACTTGTTCATATACATATGCCATACCTATACACAAACACTCAAAATTTAACAGTTAAAACTCAATAGTGATAAAAACATTTCTCTGATAAAGAGCCCCTGGATTCTTAGCATGTCAACTGGGATTTGGAAAAATAACTTTGGGTCCTTAGAGACATCTTTGAACATAGAAATTGTCTTGGTACAGATTACCAGTGCTTGTGCCAACTCCCCTGAGGGGGAGCTGTGCGCATGACAAGACCAAAGCCTCACCTGCAAGGGTCTCAAGGTCTTGGCACAAAAAGGAAACCCATGTCTTTTTCTTATCATTATTTAGGAGTGCAGCAAAGACATAATGCAGGAACGTCCCTGGATATGTTGAAAATGTTTTTGTTTTATTTTGTTTTAAATATGTGCAGTCCCTATATAGAATTCATTTGATACTTGGGTACAGGTACAAGAATTCCTCTTATTGAATGCCTTTTTACATCAAGTTCTGACTAGTACACAATAAAGACTATACTGGTACACTTTGAGACCTCCTAACATTTAATTCAGTTCTAGGGGTTTTACTTCCTTCCAAATTTTCCATAAGTGGTCTTCTTGCTTTTAGTTTATAATTAAAAAATTGGCCATAGTGAGCATGGAGGCCACAGTTATAGCCAGACAATGAAGTTCATTCTCTCTAATTTTACTGGTTCAGAATTAATTGCTAATGTATAACGCTCCGTGTCAAATGTGCTATAATGTGGCACCTTTCTTATTTTTGGTATCCTTATTTGAAATTATCCATCATGTTTAACAAGAAACCTATATGGTATCCATAGGGAAATTGTAAAAGAAAGAAGCCTTTAATCCAAAAATGCCAATACAAGATCGTATTTGTTTTTCAAAAAAAGCTTTAAGCTGAATTTGATTAGGTAAAAGTAAGCAGTGTATAAATACTACTTTTCCATTGTGTATTCAACAGTGTTTTGAAACCTCTTCTGAGAAATATGTTTATTTCCCAGCAGAATTCTCAGAACAGCTGCTTTGGAGATGATTATCTTAGAAATCAAGATTTTTTATTAAGAAGAAAACGAATTTCCATCTGACTGATTCTTAACACTGAGTCTGCTTGCAGTAAGCAGATAAAGTTCATGCCGTGTAGCACAAGTGTTAGAAGATAAACCTCTACTGGAAAAGGAGATAGCATCCCCTATTGAAAATAATACAATTTTATGCGTTCGATAACATTTACGCTACCATAAATCTGACAGTTATCATGCCAGCAGTAGCTTCCCCTGCGCCTCAGCCATATGCTCCGTTGATACAATTATCCGAATAATTGAAAGAATCTAAAACAGATCCTGTAATTTTGCCATGAAAATATATAGTTTCACTGATACAAGACAATGACTAATATGTCTTTAAATTAAATCCCAGTGCTTTATTTCACCACAATGGATTTTGCCAGATTACATGAAATTTTGTTGCCGTTTGGACGATATATTATCTGGAAGTAAAACTACATTACATGAGGCATCAGATTACAACATAATTTACTATCAGAAAACCTGGAAACATTGCTCAAAATGTTTTTGAAAAAGGGAAAATAAGATCAGAAGGTGGGGTATTGAATCAGTAATGGCGACTGTATCAATTTGTTTTATATTACATTGCAAAACAATGCAGAATGCATTCTTTCCTGTTGAGGGCATGTAGTAAAATATGATGAATTTTGCAATTTCATCTGTTAAAATTCTGACAAATTTCAAAAATCCTCCTCAAGTTCAACTTTCTGAGATTAAGCACCAATTCACTTCATGTATGACCACATAACTGGGGATACAATGAAATATGAGATTGTTTTCCAAGGAGCAACTAGATGATGCTTAAAAATACAACTTCTATCCAAATTCTGTCTTGCACAGTGACATGGGGTACATTGTAGAATTCTGTAACCCCAGTAGAAAAATATTGAAAAGCAGATTAAGACCTGGAGCATTTTGAATCAGTATGTGGTGTGGGGAAGGAAGTACTTCTCGGCTCAATATCCTTGCTGACCAGTGCTGTTGTTCTGAATTGATTCTGTGCATATTTTGGGAGCACAAATCCTGAGGCGGAAATCCATAATTCTTGCTCAGAAAATGAGGATCAAACGGACGGAAATGAAAAACAACACAGCTTAGTTAATCATAGCAACAGAGGAATGGATTTTTATGGAGATGGCTGGACCAAATGCATTATTTCTGGTGAAGCTTAAAATTTCAAATGTTGGAAGTTATTCATCAGGTTGATTCAATGAGTACATAGAAATTTAAGATTATATCATAAAGCTGGTCATATGTCACAGAAATATATTAAAACTCTAATATAGATTTTAGATGATTGTGGATGTAACTTCAAATGCTAGTTTTACTCATTAACATGAAACTACAAATGTCTTATTGTAAGAATTGTCCTGTTGTCAAAATGATAATATGAGTGAAGTCTTCTATAAGACCAGAAATTTGATCACAACAAACAAATCGCTGATCTTGCCTCCTTTTGAATGCAGGTTGAATCTTGATCTTTGAGCAATTTCCTGCTCTTTCTTAATTCCCAAAGAAAAACCTCCACATTTTGCAACATGTTGCTACAAAGAATAATAAAAATCAATCAGCCATGCTGATAAGCCATGATTTTGAGCAAGTGTGGTAAGCTTCTGTTATTTCAGACTTTCAGGTTTCTAAAATAACACAAAAAGAGTAAAAATCTTTTTAAAAAATGTTCTGGTTCTTTACCTCACATCCAGGCAATAGCATGCACGTATGCCCACACACACAAGCATGCATGCCCCCACATGTGCATGGACATACACATCATGCCCCGCAAAACCATTTTTGTGTAAGAAAATCTGAAATGCATTTGAGAGGTAGTTCTAGGTCAGTACATGAGATGTCAACATAACCATGCTGTGACTTTATCACCATTGAAAGTCATTGCATGCAAAATGATGAACAAAACACAGAAAACTGTCAGTAAATCAATGCCTTCAGTATTGAAACATGATCACACCCATCGCTTTATAATGAAAGAAAAAAATCCTGTCTTTTCTTGCTGAAAATGGTCTGAACCCACATTTTCAGTGTTGCTAAACAGTGTTATCTTGAGTCCACCAGCCCTGAATTATTAGGAAGTAAAAAAAAATAGAAAAAAAAGAAACAAGTTGTTCAAATGCAACACCAGGGAGAGGTGCCTGTCCCGATAGCTGTGTCTGTCTATATTACCAGTAATTAAATTTCCTCATTCAGTCCTCATGCAACCAACTCATTCCTGTCATGGAGTTAGTCATCTGAGTGGGACAGATCACTTTATCTTTAATGTACAGTGATCGCAACACTGACGGAATGAAATAAGTGATACATAATGCTTAAAGTGTCAGTGGCATGTTTTTGAGTGGTAGAATTTTTCACACAATGACAAATGTTATGTGATCAACCTAATTATTGTTTAATCATCATGGTAAAATTTTTCATATAATTGATGAATACCATTATTGAATAACCAGCCAACAGTATAAAAAACATAAGTGGCAGTCAAAATCCATACAAATTAGTAAATACACCATTTAACAGATTTGTTAAAAGCAACGTTTTATGGATGATGATACTGATGTTGATGCTGATTACATCCAATGTTATCTTGTTGATTTATGCCCAAAAACATTGTTATCATTGAGCAAAGAATTGTTCAATGGTTGTTATATACATGTAGTTACTATTATTGTTGAATCCAGAATTTATAATTATTTATGTATGTTGAAAGTGACATTGATGATTAATGTTATTCACCAATTTCTTCATCTTTTTTATTTTAGGGTCAAGAGTATATGGAAAAATACCTGTTGGAATACAAGAGGGAGGAGGATGGCCCATGGATGCGTTTCAGAGATAGAAAGGGTCACGAGGTAGGCCTAGCGACTAACTCTCTGATAACATGCACTCTCACCATAGAGGTTGCTATTTGTCTCTTACAAAAGTGCATGCTGTTTTGGGTTGGTGGTGACAAATAAGCTTTCAGCAGCTGGCATTTGCTTTCAACATTGGATCAACAGTGGCCCAACTCAGCATTAGATTTCTAACAGCTGGCATTGACTTTCAACATTGGGTTGACATGGCTCAACCACCAACATAATATGAGTATTTTTGTTTCACACATGTAAAGTCCATCGTTCATGAAATGAAGAGTTTCTTTTGTTTTCAATATTGTATAGATCAAAGAGATTGGCTGGAAAATACACGCTTCCAAAGTGTGGGCTGCCCTATGAACATGATTCCCAGAATGCAAATTTTTCTGTTAGCATGTTGTTTACTTCCACTGTCATTGCTGCAGGTGCTGATTTGTGAACACATCATTATTTGCTTTAAAGAATGTCATCATAAAAGAGAGATTAATTCTGCTTACAGGCAAGTAATGTGTTTAATTAAGATCAGGACCGGGGTTACTTGGGAGGGGTTACGTCCGAGCATTTCTGTAGGGCATAGACATGTGAAGAAATGAAAGAACATGTTGTTAAACCTGAAGACATTTGTTGAGATAGGCATCCAAAATGCTCTCCTAATTTCTGGACTCGGCCAGTCTCGTGTTTTGGTTGGCGCCCACCTGGCGGATTGACTCACAACACTTGTTAGAGGCTTACTTGCTGTGCTGAATCCAACAAGTTTGAAACATTCATCATGGAGAAATTAGCTCAATTACTTCATTATATCTCTGCAATCAAGCGAAGAAGAAAAAATTCAGAATCCTGTAGGCTAATTTGTTTAATTCGGCAGACAAGTTTGTATAATGATTATGACAGCCGGGAGTGGAAGCGGATACGACAGCAGTCTAGAGGAAATGGCCCATAAAGTCCCATTACTCTTAGTTATCTAGAAGGTTCTAACTTTATTTGGTGCATTAGTTTTGCCCCACTAGATGTGTTAATGGTGACAAAGAGTAATAACGGAACAGAAGATTCCATTTCTATCATTAGCGTCTCTCCATTTCTCAGTGCTTCGCTACAAACTAATGTGTTGATATTTCATTTTCTAACCTTTAGTGAAAGTGTAAAATCAATTCTTCCTAATTTTCCATGGTATTAGTGCTGATTCCATGCTGTCTGTTGGAGAGGTCGCAGACATTGCAAATAATTGAAGATGTTCGCAGTGCACAGTAGACATCTTTGGAGCCAGCGAGTCTGTAAAAAAGCAATTTGGCAGGGTCGTTTTTCTCTCTAGAAAATATCATTTCTCTGAGGCCCTGGGGATCCCTTCTCTCTGAGATAGAATGATGGGTTTAGCATTGTAAATAGCAGTGTTGCTCATAGCTTTTATCTGTTTGAAGCTGTGCTGGAAATGAATGAAATTATGCTTTCTGATCTCTGATCACATTCCAGTATAGAGATTGGTGTGTCTCTTCCAATTACCAGTTTGTTTGTTAGGTTCACCAAGAATTATGAAAAAACAAACACAAAGGTCTGTGCTAGTTTTACAGAAACTAATGTGATTTTATGCTTAATTTGATCCAGGGGAGAGGGAGGGTGGGGTTTCAAAAAAGATTGAAGCAAAGTCACCCCATTTCCCTCATAAACAAGAGAAAAGACCGTCTGAGGCCCACAGAAGTATGTGGGAAAATTCCCAGAAAAATTGCTTGCCGTCATACTCTACATCACGAATCTGTCACTGTGTCAGAAAAAAAAGAGAAAAAGAACCACATGCCACTCTTCTAATCATGTAATCATGCAATATGAAGTAAGCTTCACATTAGTGTAAATCATGTCTCTGTGTCTCCTGTCACCATTACACACAGCATTATGTAGGTGTGTTGTCTTTAAGTATTGCCTACAGTTACAATAAGTCATGGATGATTTACCGCCCTTACCTGTTCAGGTATCGATCTGTTTTAACCGCATTCAGACAAGACGAAACTTTGAACTGGTTTTAGTCTTGAATGTAAGCTACAAAATTCATTTATTGGGAGATGGGGGGGGGGTGTAAAGCAAACTGGGTGTAGGAATTCACACTGTTGAATTTAACTGATTCTTCTGTTTCAAAGTTCAGACCTACAGCAGATTCAGTTATAAGCTTAACTGAATGCAGCATATCTGCTTGATTCTACTCTTTTGTAAACTTACCTTTGTAAGTAAAACGTGTGTTGTATTCCATGCGTCTTGATTTAATTAAGGTACCCAGAATGTAATGTCACCTGTGGGGAATATAAGATTTATTGATTTGTGCCTAATGTTGTTGTCATGAAACGTGTCTAATGAAGGTGATTATTGATTATTTTTATTTAGCGCATTTCATTATTCGTAAATGTATGATGGGTTCCTTCTTGTATTGAGATGAAGACCAAATATTTAAATAGGATAGATATATGGATGTACAGAGAAAAAAGTGTGTATGAACAGAATATAATTGTGAAATAATCAAGTTTGTGCATCAATACACAAGGCATTGCACTCAGCTATTTCTGTTATAACCATTATTATATATAGCCATTTTGAAATTTTCTTAAACGCATAGTCACTATGTCAATAGAAATTTATTTCCATATTCGATACAATGCTAAAAAGAATTTTGGATAATTTGTAAATGATATAATGACAATAATCATATTTTGCCTTTTAGATTTTCCAAGGCAATACCAACACCTACATAGCAGAGCTAAGGGAGGTGAATCCACCTATCATAGCCAGGAAGATCCGCTTTGTGCCGTACAGCGACAACGTCCGCACAGTCTGTATGAGGGTGGAGCTGTATGGATGCCCATGGAAAGGTAAGACCTCCAAGAGGATTAGAAGGAGAAATATTGATTTAGGGTTCACCTGGATAATCTGGAGATTACGAGGAAATTTTTTATCCGTATTTTTATTACTATTGTCAAATAGCTGTGTGAAAGACATAATTCTTGCTGTTTTTGGCAAACTGACTTTGAAGAGCTGACAGGAAGAAGTTCTTTTACGCAAAGTTGATGGGGCAACAGATTGGAAGATTGGATAAAGATTTGATTTCAGTTTTTATGAAGCTAAAACACATTTACAGAAGAAACTCATATCATGAGCAGTGAATGAGATTCAATTGTCCCAATCCCTCTTTTAAGAAACACTACACTTGGTTCAAGTGATTCTCTGCTGGAGATCCATTTCTGCTCTTAAATGTCAAATGCGAGAAAGAAAAAAAACACAAAAAGTGTCTAGGCAACCTTTCAACATTGCCTTCTGCACTTAGACTACTTAGACTTCTGTTAATTGCAGCTCTACTACTTATGGCATTATGTGCGTTTGAAAGAAATCTCATCATCGATCTTTCAATGCGGTCACCTGCAAACCATAATGGCACAGCTGAGCAGTTGTTGCCTCCAAAATTAAAAAAGAAAAATCTGAAATGAAGGGTCTCAGTATCAAAAAGGAGGTAATTGAGTGAGCGTCTACTGTCTCTGAGCACCTGAGCACATCTGATTAGGCGTGATATGATCAGCTGTAGAGGTAAAGAAAAGTCCAAGATGACGGAATTGATGTTTTAAAGGTGCATTCACATGGGCAAAGATAAAACCAATTCTTAACCGTACTGAGTGGAAGGTCTAGTGATCAGTTAGTCTTGATCAGTTAGTCTGCTGTCCAGTAAGGCTTCACTTGAGAGATTAAAACTCCGAAGGGTTCAGGTGGACTATTGCTGAGCTGTTAACTATAATTATCTTAACACCATAACATCAAGTTGTTTAATTCAGAGACTGTTTTATTTTTTGCCAGTGTGACCACACTTTAAAACTTTGAAAATCCAGTAGCTAGCATTGGAGCCCAAAAAATGCCAAACTTGAATGTCAAAATATTTTAGATAGCAAGCAGTGAGAGTCAGGCACATAAAGGGTCGTGCTGTGATTTGTTTGCTGCTGTATTTAGAGGCAGACGGACATTCCCAATGTATCAGAGCAAATGGTGATTGAAAGGTTTGGACTTTGATGCAAACCTGTATTATAGTGTCACAGTGGCATGTGAATTTGAAATTATCCAGTGATAGGAACCCGCTGTGAAATTCATTTGCCCTCTACAGTCCTAATGAAAAATAATGTTTAGAAACCCATTTTTTACAGATTTGAGCAGAATTTTTCTTTACTTTGTTGAAAACTTGAACTGACTCCACTTTTTTAGAAAAAAATCACTAATGACTATATTCAGCTGTGACAGGCCACCTTAATGCCAAAGTGCAGAAAGATTGTTTTCTGAACAGCTTTGCAAAGCTTTATCGATCACCGCTGCCTCTTTGTCAGGCAAATGAGAAAACAATGGCTGATGGTCACAGACAACTGACTTTGGAATCAAAGCATCACCAAAACTCTTGCCATACCTCAAAGTACATGTCATTTGTATTGAACTGTGAGTGCTAATTGAATCGAAACATCTGTCAATTTTAATCAATGTGTCATCCTGTTATTTGACTCCATCCAGTTGACACCAGAGGGTGGGGATGGGGGGTATTTATCACATGTTTTGGATTACAGTCACCCACTCCTCTCACTAGAATGCTGCAGACAGCATTGCCATGGGAGCCGTCACCCTCCCTCTGTATAATATTTTCAAGTAAAGGATAATGCTATTGGCAAAGAGCACTTTTTTTGAAGAAATATATTTTTATAAATGCCCCAAGACGATGCAATTAACCTTAACAAAAATGAGTTGGTTGTTTTTTTCTTCCTGTGATTTCATAATTGAATTGGAGATAAATTGGCTCTGCGTCAGGCAAAAAGAAAAAACTGCAAGTATGACTTGAAAACATTTAATAGAAAGATTAGATAAGTTTCTTAGAGACCAAGGTGTTAGCTAATGAAGAAGTAAAAATGGTTGTTATAGCACCTCATGAGCATTAAAAGCATCTGACATTTAGGAAAGCCAGAAGTTTGAGGGGTCACGGGCAAAATTTATTATTTGTACATTTGATAAATGTACAGATAAATTTAACCATCCACAACTCTGTCATGTACTTTTAGACTGTTGGAGGCCTCGCCTGATGGCCTAGTCTATGTCATTATTGGAAAAAAAGGGATCTGTTCTCTTTGATATTGATGTTTACATTTAGAAAGCATAAAAAATGAGGGGATTTTAAGGGATGTGGGAATGAGAGGAAGCAATTCCCCTGTCACTGTAACCAATATGAAACTTTCAAGTGTTGATAGATAAGTGACTGGCAGGACTGAGAAAACCCATTACAATATGCCAGAGATTTCATTTCATGGCAGCCATTTTGGGGCTTCTTTTCACAGTTTTAGATTAGTGCCTTGTTTTTGTCAACACCAAGGGTAAAAATTAATATTTTTTCCTTTGTGCAGTCCCCATTTCTTTTTAAATACATCTCTACCAAATTACTAGACAATTATATATATATATGTGTGTGTGTGTGTGTTGTGTGTGTGATTTTCTTTTACCTAGGATAAAAGAGAATGGTAGACAAATTCTCTGATATTATTTCTGTTCCAATCATTTTGACTTTTATACTTTTTTGTTTCAAAATAATTTTTGAATTTTTTTCTATCACATTCATACATTTTTCATAATATATATAAAACAAATGATCATTGAGAGCAACTCGGGAGAGAAAATTTGGCACATCTCCTGTTTTGCCTCACCAAATCAGATAATTTCTAAAAAGAGTGTCTTCCTCCTGATCCTCGTGGAGAGATGATCCTTCTTTATCTGGGGCTGATTTGATAATGTGCAACATACCCTCCCTAAGGAGAGACCAGCGGAGATAGCCACTTGCCAATACTGTTATTTAAATATGCAACAACATGCCAAGTCATTATCTCCATCGCAAGATAAATATTCCTGACTGACTGACTCCTGACACAGAAAAAGATCCACAATTGCTGGTAGCACAGAAATAGATGAGAGAAAGCATAGCCGTGTTCAGACAGGTTTGAAATTGGATAAGTTGTGGGTCCTGACTGTGCCACCAAACTGCAAGACTTGTATTGGAAACACAGAAACTAATGTTGCCAGGGACAAAGTGATTTTTACTAGCATTTATTACCATGAACTGTATTAGCTTCAAAAATATTTATTTGCAAGAGAGACTTAGGTTCAATAATTAGTATTGGAAAGTATTAAACTTAAGCTAGTGGACAAATCCTTGTTTACAACTTATGCACCATGTCTATTTTTTCCATCCTCAGTTGGTTCCAAAATCAAAGCCATGTATATTCTAATTTTGATCGGCAGATGTCAGTCCAATTACCAATTCTGGTAAAATCAAAACCTCGTTTTGTGGGCTAGGGATTCACCATCTAGCCATGTTGAATTACCTAACAGCTTAGTCTCCTGAATTTGATCTGTGATTCACCAATTGCTGCCAGTCTGGGGGTACCTGCCTCCCTGTCTTCATGTTGCTTTGAATACCACCTTCAACATCTCTAAAACCCAATAACTGGCCATCAGTTACTGTCTTAATTTGAGCTTCTTTAGCTTGCTTTGAATGCTGCCCACAAAGTCCGTCAAACTAACAGCCAGAACAAGACAAACACACTGACTGTCACCCAATACTTTGTTTTTTTATTATTCAACAATATCATATGTTCCAATAAAAAACAAAGCATTCCTTTGACAAGTGTAAGCAATTGTATAAATGGCTTTACTCACAACTGGAATTATGAAGGCTTCAATATCCATTTCACTTAATTTACTTAATCGTGCTTTGTAATGCTGTATTGATTTTCAGATGGGAGACTGGGTTCTCTGTAAATGCATGGCTTTGCATGAGCAGCTTCCAAATATCTTTTCAATTTCTTTCAATCTTGTGCTCTCATCTATCTTTAGGGCTTCGCTGGTTGTGCAAGTTGAACAATGTTGAAAAGGTTCCTTCTCAGGATGATGATTTGGTGTGTGGGTGTTGGGGAGATACATTAAAAAATAGAGGTCCTTTTTTAAGCCCATTGAGCAACTGTCTTCATGTAATTCAATATGTAACCAAGGCACATGGTTAAGGGTGTGTGTGTGTGTGTGTGTGGTAGGAAAAGAACGCTCTACCCCCCCTCCCCCACCTCTCCCCCCCCCCTCATCCCCTCACGACATTACTGTTAACATTAACTTCTACTGGATTTTCTGTTTTTCGTGATTCCCAAAAGGCAGATTATTTTTGCAGCACTAATTTGATTAGTTATGCACCGTGTTATGGCTGGGAGGCTAATATTGAATGTAACAGTGATAGGAACTGCTGCTCTGAGTCAGTCACTGGAGAAATTAAGCCAGATAATAGGATTAATTTCACTAGGGCTTTCATATTTGGAAAAAGAAATGTTTTTTAATACTTTCTATGCCTTATGTTTTCCAAAGATAATATTTGCTCATTTGAAGATGCTGTTTTGTAGAATATCTCATGGAAGTTGGCACTGGTGAATGACAAAATTGAATGTGTCACTTCCTATAGGGAACACACTAGGTTTCTGTATGAGTTAATGCAATCAGCTTTTGACTGATCACTGAACACTAAGTTCTTGTTCAAGAATATGTTTGGAGAACTATGATGGATATGTATTTTAAAGAATAACCATGAACAATTGATAATGTCATTGTGTTAAAAATTGATGTTAACATTTCTTAGCTTTAGTTCACTCCTGGGGAGAAAAGGGGGGGTGGAAACTTGCATAGTTCACAAGTAGGCAGAGGACATATGCCATGGGCTATCGAGTCCACGCATCTTGGGAACAATAAATAAGGAATTTCATTACACTATGTGGTTCATTTAATTCTGTGGTGAACAAGGCTGCAGAGTACCCAGAATCCCATTCCCCAGTGAGAGAGCGTTCTATGACCGCAGGCGCCAATATGCCGTGAGGTGATGCATCGTTCTTCAGTGCATTGGGGAGAAACTGAGATGAATTGGAAATACAGTGAAGTGTATCCCAAGGGGGAAAGACTGCAGTCTGGAGGAGAAAACATTATGAAGATTATGAACAAAGTTTTTTGGTTTTGTTTTGTATTTTCTAAAATGATAACTGTGATGCCTGTCACAGAAGCTCACTTGCTGCCATGATGGGTCAGTTTGTAGATGTGTGCTGTTGTACCCTTTTTATAAAGAGAAGGTGGCATAGGAATTTTGTCTTGTCTGTGATGCCAATGTGAACCGAGCAATTTTTTTCTAATAACATTATGGTTGATGCATTTTTATTCTTTTTTTTTTTTTTTTTTTTTTTTTTTTTTTTTTTGTAGATTTTATATGTTTCATTTATATGTTGAAAAGATCGTTGGAATAGTTAATATTTAAACTAACTTGACCAGTCTTACGTTATGAATAAGATTGATATAATAAATGAAAAGCGTACATTACGATTACAATCTAAGGCATATTTGAACATTTTACAGAATGGTATTTCTTATAATATTTGGTCACCTTTTTTAAGCCCAGGGATGCTTACCCTTATATTTGATGAAAGAATCTTCAGATCAGATACAGGGGGCAGACATGACATCCAGGAAAAATCAATTTGAAAAAATAAGTAGGGGAGGAGGAAGGGAGGGGAATAGATTTTGTAGGTAATTGGATCATTTGAAAGGAAAGCATGTTTCAGATGATAGATGGTAAGTGTTTGAGGATGCTCGGCCTCCAGTCAATGATCTAATCAGGGGCCCTCCCACATGGTGTGGAGGGAACATAAACATGTGCATTCTGTCTGATAATGCAGGGAGAAGTCGGGCACAAGGAGCACAGCTGATCCACCGACTCCCTGTATTTGCTGTTTCACTGTCTTAAGCGTGCTGGTATTTTCACAAAGAGTCCGAGGTGAACTTAGGCGAGGCACTGACACCGGGGTTGCTGATTTTGGATCGGGCTCCTGTTTTCTTAGCTTCTTCAGAGGAGCTCTGGAACCGCGCTGCTTCTAATCTTGGGGCTATTATTATCCCTAGATAATGTCAAGAAATTCTGGATTAAATTTATGTGAATGAAGGACATCTTGGGCCATTGAGAACTTAATCCTGCTCGATGTTTTTCATGTCATTCAATAGCGCAAGCCAATAAATGGCTGTAATTGCATGCATCTTCATACTTGATTTCCACACCCAAATGACTATTCCAACGCTTATGGGCATAGCAGCTATTGAGGAGACCCCAGTGAAGGAATATTAAGGTGTATGTCTTCTGTAATGGGAGTGCTATAGCCCTGGACCTGGCTTCAGCCCAGACTAGACAAACAGGCTAATGATCTGTGAATTCTGCATTAATATTTGAATCCTCAGTCCATTAAACACACTGGTAGGCTAAATCACCTAATAGCCACTTATATAGCCCAAGATACTAAGGTTTCTTGTTTCTGTGAATTACCTTTAACATGTTGTCTGCATGGCATATAAGTTTTTTCATTAGTTTATAAATAGTACTGAAGGTTGTGTTTTCTCAACCTTTCCTGACCTGTTCCTTTATTGAATAGAAATATGATTCGTATGATATTTGAAAAAAAAATTCATGCAAAAGATTTTTCTTATATAGTAACTTGGAGGCATTGCTTCCTACAATGAAATACAAGCATTGAGGCTGTTTGCAGAAAAAAACACACTTATGTAAAAGGTCCTAACAAAACTACACTTAAAAAAACTCCAGAGGAAAGAGACAGCAAACCACCATGCTGCAGACAGCAAACCTCAAAAAAATCAAATCAAATTTGCTCAAGACAAACACATGCATTATTCAGCACTAAGATTACTCAGTCAAATTTCATTGTAACTTTGAAGGCACTTGGTCTTGTGGTCACAACTGTTCCAGACAAACAAGTTGCCAGACTTGACCTGAAGCAGAATGGGTGCAAGGTTTCATGGCACTTGCTGTAAAAGGTCCTTTTTTTAATATTTGAGGACGAAATTTTAACCGATTATTTAATTAGTAACAGAGTCAATCTCATTATTTTGCTTTTAAAAATTGATTATTAGGAAAGTTGCCGTTTATTTGGAAAGTTGCTGTTATTGAAAAAAAGAGGCATCTTCAACAGTGACAGACAATAGTATTGATTCTAATTTTTTGTCAAATTCAAGGTATGCAGTCACAATGGGGTGCTGTATGAAATAGGGATCATCATTAAAATCAAATAAGGGCTATCACTTAACAGCCTCTTAAACTACTTGTTTTTCTTTATGTACTCGCACAGCAAGAAAAGAGAGAACTTCAGAAATGATGTTGATTTTAATTTTCTGCGGTTAATAGACTACTGTGTTGTATAAGAAGAAATTTGACATAAACAGCTCGGATTTGCCAGAAGGTATTGGCATTCTCCATAGTCTCTGCCTCTCCACGGACCCAAGCTGTCTGTATTGATTCTTACATTCATCCATCATGCTAGAAAGAAAATCACAATTTTGTGATGATGAAGAGTGATGGAAAGTTGGCTCAGGATGAAGTTGGATTTAAGGATTTTCAATTATTTTAGTCAGCATTCTTGACCAGCAAATACTATTGAGGGCTTTGTTTGGAGACAGTCTTATGTGTATAATTTTAATATGTAAATAGCCCATTTGACATGTAGAGAAATTTGGTCATTATAACCCAAGATGTTCATCATTGTGGTGCTGGTTTTGGGTTACACATTTGGGATTGTATGTAAACACTGTGACACACAGGAACTTAATGATTTGTCAATTTTGAAATGTAGAATTGCTTTCAAATATTAACTATCCAAATAACACAATCTGCTGATCTGAAGAGAATTATTACAACTTCTGTGACTTGTTAATGTCTCCCCATGACCTAGCATCTTAGCCAGCAGTTTTTATTCTTGATTCCAATAGATGCTGATGGGAAATGAGAGGAAAAAAGCCCTTAAAAGCAGGTGTCTATTCAAAACAGTAACTTCGTTATCATCTCTAAAAGCTCAGGGGCTTACATTAGCTGTCACCCATATCTGTGAAGGAAATAAAGCAAATTCAATTTTGTTATTTAAGACAACCTAACTAAGATCATTTGTCCTCGGAACAGCTGCTTGAAAAATTGATATGTTGATAATGGACGGTTTTTAGGGGAAATGTGTCAGCCATGATACTGCAGATACAAGTCTGCAGAACAAAACTTAGTTTAAAAACCCTGGAGGGAAAAATGAGCCAGTTAATGATGCTAGTTGTGGAGGGGAATGCAATCAGGTTGAGACAAATTGTGCTGAGATGCTGATAATTTGATCAAATGCAACCAAGAAGATCTAGTACAAATGGAAATGCTTCACACATTAAATGCTGTCTTGTTTTACAGTTGAAAGAACTAATACTGTTTGCTAATTTTGATAAAATCTTAATTCAGTTTCAAATAATAAAGCCTGATGTTACATTTTTGTAGTACTCGAATGTTATTTTGATAAAATTTATATCATGAATACAGCACTTAGTTTAAATTGACATGGCGTAAGTCAAGTAAAATGAAAAGGTGTATTAAATGTTGTGTTTATTTTTCAGAGGGTGTGGTGTCATACAATGTTGCTCAAGGCGAACGAAGAGGAATGGAAGTGGATCTGTACGACTTCACCTATGATGGTAAAACAGAAAACAACTACCTGTCCAATGGAATGGGGCAGTTATTTGATGGTGAAGAAGGTCAGTCCAACTTCCGCCTCGACCCCCAGGAGCTGGGCATGAAGGGATACGAGTGGGTGGGCTGGAAAAACGATACCACCTCTACGACTCCAGGACCTGTGGAGTTTCTGTTCAGGTTCGACGCAGTGCGGAACTTTACATCCGTCCAGCTTCACTGTAACAATATGTTCTCTAAGGAAGTCCGTGTGTTCAAGTCTGCAGTGATTCATTTCAGCGTTGGAGGGAAGTATTACAACCAGGAACCAGTGAGGTTCGAGTACATGAGAGACACGCTGATGGAGTATGCCAGACCTGTTATTATCAAACTCAACAACCGTATTGGAAAATATGTCAAAATGCAGCTGTTTTTCGATGCCAAGTGGCTCATGATAAGTGAAATCTCATTCTCATCAGGTAATTAAATGGTTTAACCTATGTTATGGATGATATTATGAGCTGAAGCTAATAACTTTTATATTTGACGTCTGTTAGTGAAACAAATCTTAACATCTCCTCAATTTTGTTATTGTGTCCTTAATACACAAATTACTTTGAAAAACTATTTTCTTTCACTACCACTTTTCCTGTACCTGCAGTGCACAGCATATTTAAGATTTAATCTTTTATTATATTAATTATTTTCAATATTTTTTCAGAAATTGTAAAAGTCAATGTCAGTGAGGAGGTGGGGCCCATGTCTATAACTCTCCCCACCACCACAGTAGCAGGACACAAAGGATCTGATTCCACTCCATACGCTGGAGATAAAGATGGAGGCAAAGGCAGTGAAGGGGGCGCCAGTGATGACCACACACTAGGAGGTACTTATTACCATGATTTCAGACTTTTTCTGTTCAGTTGTCAGAAACATAGATTTCTGCAGATATTGTGCGGTGGTGTTTGTGATAGGGACCAATTGGAAAATCTTATTTGTTTGATGTGTAAAGTGTTTTGATATCTTTCAGTGAATGCAGTTTAAGAATAACGTTTATATTAGAGAGCTCTGATCAATTTATTTGGAAATTGTGTTCACATTATTAACTTGTCTAAAAAGGGTTTTCAGCTCAAATATGTCATCTTGTAAACAAACATGAATGTTCTTCAATGTTCTTTGTCCAGGAACCACAGAGACCCCTACTGTCCATCGTCCAACAAACACCATCGACGACCAGTTCATTGGGAGCATATGTGGAGCTCTGGGGGCACTCTTGCTGCTCATCTTAATAGTAGTCGCCATTATCATCTGTCACACTCGGCGCCAGAAACAAAGAAATGCTCAGCGCCAACTCAAACCCTGCAATAACGGCCAAGTGGCTGTTAATCTGAATGACCTGCGCCAGCCATTTGGCAATGGGAAAGTAATGAATGGGATTGTGTATAATTGTGTCCCTCCATGTGACGCGGACTCTGACCCGGAGAAGTCGAAAACTGATATATACAATGAGCCCAAGGATTGTATACAGAATCGTAAACTTCCAGATATACCTAGAAATAATGTGGAATATTCTTCAGGTATGTGTCCAACTGTATTGTTATATTTATTTATTTATTTATTTATTTATTTATTTAGGAAAAAATATTTTTGTTAAAATAAACTGTTAAGTTATGTAGCATGTGTAAAAATCCTAATGTATCTCTTTGATTTTGACATTATTTGTCTCTCAGTTTTTCCAAAGTCCAGTTATGGTACATTCTTATTAATATTCAAAATTTAAAAGAAAAGATTCAACCATGTATTATTTACATCTTAGATTGCACCAACACGTCTCGAGAATATGCAGTGCCAGACCTTTCCCGGCCACTTATCGTTGCCCTCCCCCCAGAAAAAGAGAACAACCTGTCTGCAGAAGATGACAACAATTTCTATGCTACTGCTGACTTGACGGACATCATGAACATTCAGGGGGTGAGCGGGAACAATGTATATGCTGCTCCCAATCCAGACTTCCTCTACAGGGAGGATGTCACTGTTATGGAGCTGCCCAGAGAAAATTTGAAGTTTATTGAAAAACTGGGAGAAGGCCAGTTTGGAGAGGTAGGGGTTCTGAGATGGAACTTATGTAAAAATGGATGATGTATAATCTATGGAAAGTAAAGAGTTTATCACTTGCTTTAGGTCATAATGTTACTTGACTGAAAATGTTACTTAGTTAATGAAACCAAATAATATTCTAGAATGGGTACAGATGTGGGTTCTTTGCATTCAAATGGAGATGTTTTATAAGGAACCTCCACATTAATTCCAATATCAATTATTGAAGTTAAAAATTGTTCTAATAAATGGGTTAAAATTGATTTCATCTAAGACTTAAAATATTGTTAGTTTATCAGTATGGTTAGCAATTTTAACCAATTATATTTGAAACCTTTATTTGTTTATTTGTTTATTTCTTTATTTCTTTATTTATTTTTTCCCCTGTGTTCCAGGTCCATCTGTGTGAGTGTATGCATCTGAATGAGCTGCTTGGCGATGACTATCATTCCAACAGGACGACCTCCAAGTCTCTGTTAGTGGCTGTCAAGGTGCTAAGAAAGACCGCTGATGAAACGGCCAGGTAAGAATTAACTCTGTTCCCATTCAGAATTTCAGGTGCAAGTATTCAGATCTTGTTAAATCCTGCACTTGCCAGTTCCTAAAAAAGTCATCTTTTATCATTTAAAATTGTCTCCAAAAAGGCCTGTTTACTTTGTTTGTTGAACATGTGCATGCCTTTCATTAGTGTGTTAGTCTAAATTTTAGAACTTAAACATCCTCTTATTGGATGCTTTAGAAAACAATGTGAACTTTAAATTCCTTGAATACTATCTGTTAACAAACAAATTTGAACTATTTTCTTGTTATTTCCAAGTATTGTCATTAAAATAATCAGATGCGTGATATATTTACTGGTTGGGCTAGCAGATGCAAAATGTTTGAAATTTTAATAACATTTGAACAGAATGCATTTGTTGTCTGCCAACCTGAATGAAAACTGCACAAACTTGCCATTGATATTAATATACAATTAGCTCAATGCAGTAATACAACAATATGGTTTTTGTGCATTGCAGAAATGACTTTAGGAAAGAAATAAACCTCATGTCCCGGCTCAAGGACCCCAACATTGTCCACGTGTTGGGTGTGTGCACCAATGACGAGCCCATGTGTATGATTGTGGAGTACATGAAGTATGGAGATCTGAACCAGTTCCTGGCAGAACATGTGGCAGAGAGCACCTTGGCCAGGCAGACCCATGCCAAGACCATCAGGTAAACTAGAACTGATATGTATATATACAGTTAGTTGGGTACATTGTCTAAAACCTCATTACTGGAAGTGTCATTTATCATGAATAAGTCATGTGGAACTTGTGAACATTGCCAAATTAAAATCAAATGTTTTTAGTTCTGGAATGTTACGTAGAGTTGAGTGATGTAAAAGTTGAACATAGCAGCAGAAATGTGGGTCATTTCAAAGACTGGATAAATAATAAATTGATCATCAAAAAATTAAGAAAGTAAATGAGAATCAAATTGGACAATAAATTATAAGTTTGACTGCCATTGTTTTCCTCTGTATCTTTCCAGTTATGGTGGTCTGGTCTACATGGCAGCACAGGTTGCATCTGGGATGAAGTACCTGGAATCCTTGAACATGGTCCACCGCGATTTAGCCACCAGGAATTGTCTAGTTGGCAACTACTACACTATCAAAATAGCTGATTTTGGCATGAGTCGCAGCTTGTACAGTGCGGACTACTACAGGATAGAGGGCAGGGCTGTACTACCCATTAGGTGGATGGCGTGGGAGAGTATTTTGCTGGTACGTGATAAAATGTTCTTTCATTATACGAGTTCAGAAATAGAAGTGTTCCTTTTACCCTTGTAGATTCAAAGTTGTTTTTTAATATTAATTTAACTGTAACATCCAGCTTAAAGTTGCAAATGAATATTTATTGTTATAATGAAGATACAAGTGTTTTGTTGTTGTAGTTGATGTAGTTCCATCTTTGCTATTTTGACGTGTGAAAGTGTATCATCTTATGCTGATTAACTACAGTTTGACATCCTGTGTTAAACCTTTTACTTGCATTTTAAACCTTCACTGGGCTCATTCATTGTTGATAATGATCAGAAGTTATAAAAGTTGTAATCATGCACTTCACAAATATTACTTTTCTATTTATAGGGCAAATTTACCACCAAGAGCGATGTTTGGTCCTTTGGAGTTACATTATGGGAAATTCTGACATTTGCTAAAGAGCAACCATTTGAAATGTACACTGATGAACAGGTTATTGAAAATTGCGGTCACTTTTACCGCAACGATGGCAAAATCCAGTATCTCCCTCAACCGACATGTTGTCCTCGGGAGATATATGACTTGATGAAGGAGTGCTGGAACCGTGTGGAAACGGAACGTCCAGCTTTCAAGGAAATTCACATGTTCTTGCAGAGGAAGAGTATGGGTTATGATCCCAAGGAGGAAAAGATGATGCAGAACAAGCTACCTGTGTGTTGATGCTTTGCCATGTGGTGTGCAGAAAATGTCAGATGGGTAAATGATTGGTGGAAATCTAAGCCAATTGGATTGCCTTTGGAGATGCAGAACAAGTAACCTGCTTGCTGTCCAGGAAATGGGAAATATGTAAATGATTGGTGGAATTCATTTAATCAGGACTGTGAAACAGCAAGTCAATTAGTGATAACAAGACAGTCAAATGTTTGCCAAACTGATGTGAATAAGAGCACAACTGCCCTGTAAGAACTGGTAAGACTGTTGATGGGGTCCGCTTGTTTGAGTGAAGAGGTAAGCCTAGTCATTACAATCTTGGATGATGGGTGAAAGGCAAGGTATTGCTGCGGGCTGAAAATGAACAAAACAGGAGAGAATAAATCACATTTGCTGCTTTGAACTATATACCAGCTTCTTTGTGTGCATGCAGCGCTCTGCAAAGTGGTGAAACCATTTCACTAAAGCAGGACTGAGGTCTCAAAACCCAAGGCATTCAGATCATGGTGGTGATAATTCTACAGCACCATAAAAGAATGTAATGTTACCCAGCATTCTACCCCAGCATTCTACTGGGGGTTTACAGTGTAGGCAAAAGCTAATCACACGTGCTCCATAAGGTCCGCATTTATCAAAGTACCAATACAAGCCTAAGCTTGCTACACTGTCTTTTCAGTACAAGAATATTTTGTTTCTGCATGAAAATTAAGATAGGCTTGGATTGCAGAAAGAATCTATGATATGAACCAACATATGCCAATGAAGTTTCTGAATTACGAAATAAGTATCTGTTTAAATGGTGAGATGGGTCAGGGTAATAGAGATGCCGAGCTCTTCTCATACCGAGTAAAATTTCAAGTCTGTCTCCTTCATCTACCTTGTAACAGTTCAATAGCAGCTGCTGTCACTCTAGCTCAGGTTTATATAAAACAAGGATTAATTAAAAACAAAGATTGGAAAATGGGGAACAGTCAAACTGGAATGTGCTCTGATATTCAGGATACTTTGGACTGCATTAAAACATAAACAGTGAAGATAATGACTTTTTTGTATCATGACAAACAAATTGCAGTCCACATTTCAGAAAAAAATTGTGAGCTCGCCTGTGAAGTGGGTAAATTTGGTTGCATAACACCAGCAGGTAACTGGAAGTCAAGAACTTATATTTAATTTTATCATTGATTGATACAAGTATTTGTATAGTTATGAAGATATATTGGGTGATAACTTGCAGTGGTGCTTCAGCTTCTAGTAAACAAAGCTGATTTCAATATAGATTTATTATTCTTATCATTATTAGGTGGTATTATATTTTATGGTATATTTTATAGAGTCATGTGTCCATCCAACATTGCCAGTGGAACGTCTCTTCTATAATTGGTTACTATGGACCATGTTTAACTGTCCCATTGTTATTGTGGATTTATTGAAAAAAACATGACATATTGCTTTATAAAAGAAGACTTGGCACATTATATGTAGAGCTATTAACTGATACGCTATTTGTAGGTAGTGTTGTACCAAAGTGTTATTTTTTTTTTCTTAATCTATCCAGGACTGGCATACACTTTATTGCTGTGTTGCACTTACAGCAACTGGCTTTCAGCACGATCCAGTTTTTTTAACTAAAACTAGGTGGCATTCATTTGGTTTTAATGTGATTTTAGCAGAATAATTTATTAGCGTCTCTGCATGTTGTAATGCAGTCAACTTCTTCATTTGGTTTTTGTATTTTGCTTTACTGGATGAGGGCTGTATAAAGAAAGAGGGCAGTGTTGTCAAACGGCAATTTTCATAATAAATACTAACTCCTGCTTTTATTCATTAAATTTATAATGGGCTCGTTGAAATGCTGCATCAGTTAGATGTGTAGAAAAGTATACCATTGTAATCATGTGTAATTTCTTATTCTTATGGTCACGTTTGAACTGTGTTCTATTTTATTTTGGTTCAAATGTAAGAAGTCAGGTGCCTGTCAAAATACATGCCTTGCGTTCTGCTGCAAGTTCTTTTTCAGGAGTGTGTCTTTTTTACAAATTTAATGTATTTTTGCTTGATTTTTTTTTTTTATTTGCTTGCTTTTTAAAATGCCAAACAGTGCATAAGTATGCGACAAAAAGTGCACGACACAGTGAAACTGATATGCTATTTTAATGTCTTGTAAGTCATTGTTTTGATTTACCAGTGAATGTTAAGCTACAAACACTTGATTTTAAAAAACACGGTGCCATTTCTCTACTTACATTTCACCATCCAGATCACTGCACCGCATATTTTATAGTCATTTTAAAGCTGAAATGAGAAGAGGGCATTGAAGTCGGAGAAACTTTTACGCACACAATTTGAGTTTTATTCCATGTTGTTTCATAATTAGATCACTGTGACCAGGGACATTTAAGATATGTCCCAAATATTTTGTTGCCGATCACGTTTTCTCAAAGTTGATTCTCTTCAGGTATTATCAGTTTACATATCTACACAGAGCTTTTATAATGCTGTACTCATTATTCATATTTCACTGAGAAAGAATGGTGAGTTTAGTAACAGTGTATTATTCACATTATACTATCTATTAAAAGTTGTTTATTTTGTATGTCAGCAATGTACAATACACATGCTATGTCAGTTAACGGGGAGATGTATATAATGTATATACGACTTGATCAGAATTGAAATAAAGTTATGAAGAAACATAAATTTTCTTCCTCGTGTTATTCCGCTACATTAAGTAATTAATTAAAGGAGTTGAATTTTCACCGATCATTGAAATCGTTAAAAAAGTCAAATTTTCAACAGTCATTGAAATCGATGCTCATGTATCACTATCAGAAACCAATGTCTTGTCAATTGTAATTACAACATATTTTACCAGTTGGTACACATAAAACAAGTAAAAGAAATCATCATTCATTGTAATCGCTTTCCAACCAAAATAGTACTTAAGTACTCAAAATTGGACAACAACCTGGCCCCTGAATCGGGATGTCACAAGACGAGAACGAATGAGGGCGCTCGTGGGACCTAGCAAATTACCTTTTGCATAATAATNATGACTTCACCTATGATGGTAAAACAGAAAACAACTACCTGTCCAATGGAATGGGGCAGTTATTTGATGGTGAAGAAGGTCAGTCGAACTTCCGCCTCGACCCCCAGGAGCTGGGCATGAAGGGATACGAGTGGGTGGGCTGGAAAAACGATACCACCTCTACGACTCCAGGACCTGTGGAGTTTCTGTTCAGGTTTGACGCAGTGCGGAACTTTACATCCGTCCAGCTTCACTGTAACAATATGTTCTCTAAGGAAGTCCGTGTGTTCAAGTCTGCAGTGATTCATTTCAGCGTTGGAGGGAAGTATTACAACCAGGAACCAGTGAGGTTCGAGTACATGAGAGACACGCTGATGGAGTATGCCAGACCTGTTATTATCAAACTCAACAACCGTATTGGAAAATATGTCAAAATGCAGCTGTTTTTCGATGCCAAGTGGCTCATGATAAGTGAAATCTCATTCTCATCAGGTAATTAAATGGTTTAACCTATGTTATGGATGATATTATGAGCTGAAGCTAATAACTTTTATATTTGACGTCTGTTAGTGAAACAAATCTTAACATCTCCTCAATTTTGTTATTGTGTCCTTAATACACAAATTACTTTGAAAAACTATTTTCTTTCACTACCACTTTTCCTGTACCTGCAGTGCACAGCACATTTAAGATTTAATCTTTTATTATATTAATTATTTTCAATATTTTTTCAGAAATTGTAAAAATCAATGTCAGTGAGGAGGTGGGGCCCATGTCTATAACTGTCCCCACCACCACAGTAGCAGGACACAAAGGATCTGATTCCACTCCATACGCTGGAGATAAAGATGGAGGCAAAGGCAGTGAAGGGGGTGCCAGTGATGACCATACACTAGGAGGTAATTATTACCATGATTTCAGACTTTATCTGTTCAGTAATCAGAAACACAGATTTCTGCAGATACATTTTTTTTGTTGTGTACAGTGTTTTGATATCTTTCAGTGAATGCAGTTAAAGAATAACGTTCATATTAGAGAAATTGTATTGACATTATTTACCTGTCTAAAAAGGGGTTTCAGCTCAAATATGTCATCTTGTAAACAAACATTTTAATGTTCTTTGGATGTTCTTTGTTCAGGCACCACAGAGACCCCTACTGTCCATCGTCCAACAAACACCATCGACGACCAGTTCATTGGGAGCATATGTGGAGCTCTGGGGGCACTCTTGCTGCTCATCTTAATAGTAGTCGCCATTATCATCTGTCACACTCGGCGCCAGAAGCAAAGAAATGCTCAGCGCCAACTCAAACCCTGCAATAACGGCCAAGTGGCTGTTAACCTGAACGACCTGCGCCAGCCGTTTGGCAATGGGAAAGTAATGAATGGGATTGTGTATAATTGTGTCCCTCCATGTGACGCCGACTCTGACCCAGAGAAGTCAAAAACTGATATATACAATGAGCCCAAGGATTGTATACAGAATCGTAAACTTCCAGATATACCTAGAAATAATGTGGAATATTCTTCAGGTATAGTCCCACTGTATTGTTATATTTATTCATTTATTTATTTATTTATTTAGAAAAAGATATTTTGTTAAAAAACTGTGAAGTTATGTAGAAATGTCTACAAGCAGACTAGCATGTGTAAAAATCCTAATGTAGCTCTTTGATTTTGACATTATTTGTCTCTCAATTTTTCAAAAGTCCAGTTACGGTACATTCTTATTAATGTTCAAAATTTTAAAAAATAAACCATTTGTTATTTATATCTTAGATTGCACCAACACGTCCCGAGAATATGCAGTGCCAGACCTTTCCCGGCCACTTATCGTCGCCCTCCCCCCAGAAAAAGAGAACAACCTGTCTGCAGAAGATGACAACAATTTCTATGCTACTGCTGACTTGACGGACATCATGAACATTCAGGGGGTGAGCGGGAACAATGTGTATGCTGCTCCCAATCCAGACTTCCTCTACAGGGAGGATGTCACGGTCATGGAGCTACCCAGAGAAAATTTGAAGTTTATTGAAAAACTGGGAGAAGGCCAGTTTGGAGAGGTAGGGGTTCTGAGATGAAAAATAAATGTAGAAATGGATGATGCATAATCTACAGAGAGAAAAGAGTTTGTCAACAGCTATTGGTCATGTTACTTGACTGAAAATTTTACCTAATCAAACAAAATAGAATGAGTACAGATGATATGATGTTCTTTGCATTCAAATAGAGATTTTTTGTAAGGAACCTTCACATTAATTCAGATATTAATTACTGAAGTTAAAATTTGTTTTACATGGATTAAAATTTCTTTCATCTAAGACTAAAATATTGTATGGTAAGCAATTTTAACCAATTACATTTGAAACCTTGATTTATTTATTAAATTTCCTGTGTTCCAGGTCCATCTGTGTGAGTGTATGCATCTGAATGAGCTGCTTGGCGATGACTATCATTCCAACAGAACGGCCTCCAAGTCTCTGTTAGTGGCTGTCAAGGTGCTAAGAAAGACCGCTGATGAAACAGCCAGGTAAGAATTAGCTGTGTTCCCATTCAAAATTTCAGGTGCAAGTATTTAGATCTTGTTATATCCTGCACTTACCAGTTCCTAAAAAAGTCATCTTTTATCATTTAAATTTGTCTTCAAAAAGGCCTGTTTACTTTGTTTGTTGAACATGTGCATGCCTTTCATTAGTGGGTTGGTCTAAATTTTAGAACTTAAACATCCTCTTATTGGATGCTTTAGAAAACAATGTGAACTTTAAATTGCTTGAATACTATTTGTTAACAAACAATTTTGAACTATTTTCTTGTTATTTCCAAGTATTGTCATTAAAATAATCAGATGCGTGATATATTTACTGGTTGGGCTAGCAGATGCAAAATGTTTGAAATTTTAATAACATTTGAACAGAATGCATTTGTCGTCTGCCAACCTGAATGAAAACTGCACAAACTTGCCGTCGATATTAATATACAATTAGCTCAATGCAGTAATACAACAATATGGTTTTTGTGCATTGCAGAAATGACTTTAGGAAAGAAATAAACCTCATGTCCCGACTCAAGGACCCCAACATTGTCCACGTGTTGGGTGTGTGCACCAATGATGAGCCCATGTGTATGATTGTGGAGTACATGAAGTATGGAGATCTGAACCAGTTCCTGGCAGAACATGTGGCAGAGAGCACCTTGGCCAGGCAGACCCATGCCAAGACCATCAGGTAAACTAGAACTTATATGTATATATACAGTTAGTTGGGTACATTGTCTAAAACCTCATTACTGGAAGTGTCATTTATCATGAATAAGTCATGTGGAACTTGTGAACATTGCCAAATTAAAATCAAATGTTTTTAGTTCTGGAATGTTACGTAGAGTTGAGTGATGTAAAAGTTGAACATAGCAGCAGAAATGTGGGTCATTTCAAAGACTGGATAAATAATAAATTGATCATCAAAAAATTAAGAAAGTAAATGAGAATCAAATTGGACAATAAATTATCAGTTTGACTGCCATTGTTTCCCTCTTTATCTTTCCAGTTATGGTGGTCTGGTCTACATGGCAGCACAGGTTGCATCTGGGATGAAGTACCTGGAATCCTTGAACATGGTCCACCGCGATTTAGCCACCAGGAATTGTCTAGTTGGCAACTACTACACTATCAAAATAGCTGATTTTGGCATGAGTCGCAGCTTGTACAGTGCGGACTACTACAGGATAGAGGGCAGGGCTGTATTACCCATTAGGTGGATGGCATGGGAGAGTATTTTGCTGGTACGTGAGAAAATGTTTTATCATTATACAAGTTCAGAAATAGAAGTGTTCCTTTTATCGCTTGTAGATTCAAAGTTGTTTTTTTAGTATAAATTTAACTGTAACATCCAGCTAAAAGTTGCAAATGAATATTTTTATTGTTATATAATGAAGATACAAGTGTTTTGTTGTTGTGGTTGATGTAGTTCCATCTTTGCTATTTTTACATGTTAAAGTGTATCATCTTATGCTGATTAACTACAGTTTGACATCCTGTGTTAAACCTTTTACTTGCATTTTAAACCTTCATTGGGTTCATTCATTGTTGATTATGATCAGAAGTTATGAAAGTTGTAAACATGCACTTCACAAATATTACTTTTCTATTTATAGGGCAAATTTACCACCAAGAGCGATGTTTGGTCCTTTGGAGTTACATTATGGGAAATTCTGACATTTGCTAAAGAGCAACCATTTGAAATGTACACTGATGAACAGGTTATTGAAAATTGCGGTCACTTTTACCGCAACGATGGCAAAATCCAGTATCTCCCTCAACCGACATGTTGTCCTCGGGAGATATATGACTTGATGAAGGAGTGCTGGAACCGCGTGGAAACGGAACGTCCAGCTTTCAAGGAAATTCACATGTTCTTGCAGAGGAAGAGTATGGGTTATGATCCCAAGGAGGAAAAGATGATGCAGAACAAGCTACCTGTGTGTTGATGCTTTGCCATGTGGTGTGCAGAAAATGTCAGATGGGTAAATGATTGGTTGAAATCTAAGCCAATTGGATTGCCTTTGGAGATGCAGAACAAGTAACCTGCTTGCTGTCCAGGAAATGGGAAATATGTAAGTGATTGGTGGAATTCATTTAATTAGTGAATTAGTGATAACAAGACAGTCAAATGTTTGCCAAACTGATGTGAATAAGAGCACAACTGCCCTGTAAGAACTGGTAAGACTGTTGATGGGGTCTGCTTGTTTGAGTGAAGAGGTAAGCCTAGTCATTACAATCTTGGATGATGGGTGAAAGGCAAGGTATTGCTGCAGGCTGAAAATGAACAAAACAGGAGAGGATAAATCACATTTGATGCTGCTTCGAACTATATACCAGCTTCTTTGTGTGCACACAGCCCTCTTCGTAGTGGTGAAACCATTTCACTAAAGCAGGACTGAGGTCTCAAAACCCAAGGCATTCAGACCATGGTGTTGATAATTCTGCAACACCATAAAAGAATGTAATGTTACCCAGCATCCTACCCCATACGTGGGGGTTTACAGTGTAGGCAAAAGCTAATCACAAATGCTTCATAAGCTCTGCATTTATTAAAGTACCAACACAAGCCTAAGCTTGCTACACTGTCTTTTCATTACAAGAATATTGTTTCTGCATGCAAATTAAGATGGGCTTGGATTGCAGAAAAAATCTATGATATGAACCAACATATGCCAATGAAGTTTCTGAATTATGAAATAAGTATCTGTTTAAATGGTGAGATGGGTCAGGGTAATAGAGATGCTGAGGATGGGGCCCTGCTCATACCGAGTAAAATTTCAAGTCTGTCTCCTTCATCTACCTTGTAACAGTTAACTAGCAGCTGCTGTCACTCTAGCTCAGGTTTATATAAAACAAGGATTGAAAACAAAGATTGGAAAATGGGGAACAGTCAAACTGCAATGTGCTCTGATATTCAGGATACTTTAGACTGCATTAAAACATAAACAGTGAAGATAATGGCCCTGAGCATAAAAAAGACAAATTGCAGTCCACGTTTCAGAAAAAAATTGTGAGCTCGCCTGCGAAGTGGGTAAATTTGGTTTCATAACACCAGCAGGTAACTGGAAGTCAAGAACTTATATTTAATTTTATCATTGATTGATACAAGTATTTGTATAGTTATGAAGATATATTGGGTGATAACTTGCAGTGGTGCTTCAGCTTCTAGTAAACAAAGCTGATTTCAATATAGATTTATTATTCTTATCATTATTAGGTGGTATTATATTTTATGGTATATTTTATAGAGTCATGTGTCCATCCAACATTGCCAGTGGAACGTCTCTTCTATAATTGGTTACTATGGACCATGTTTAACTGTCCCATTGTTATTGTGGATTTATTGAAAAAAACATGACACATTGCTTTATAAAAGAAGACTTGGCACATTATATGTAGAGCTATCAACTGATACGCTATTTGTAGGTAGTGTTGTACCAAAGTGTTATTTTTTTTTTCTTAATCTATCCAGGACTGGCATACACTTTATTGCTGTGTTGCACTTACAGCAACTGGCGTTCAGCACGATCCAGTTTTTTAACTAAAACTAGGTGGCATTCATTTGGTTTTAATGTGATTTTAGCAGAATAATTTATTAGCGTCTCTGCATGTTGTAATGCAGTCAACTTCTTCATTTGGTTTTTGTATTTTGCTTTATGAGGGCTGTATAAAGAAAGAGGGCAGTGTTGTCAAACGGCAATTTTCATAATAAATACTAACTCCTGCTTTTATTCATTAAATTTATAATGGGCTCGTTGAAATGCTGCATCAGTTAGATGTGTAGAAAAGTATACCATTGTAATCATGTGTAATTTCTTATTCTTATGGTCACGTTTGAACTGTGTTCTGTTTTATTTTGGTTCAAATGTAAGAAGTCAGGTGCCTGTCAAAATACATGCCTTGCGTTCTGCTGCAAGTTCTTTTTCAGAAGTGTGTCTTTTTTACAAATTTAATGTATTTTTGCTTGATTTTTTTTTTATTTGCTTGCTTTTTAAAATGCCAAACAGTGCATAAGTATGCGACAAAAAGTGCACGACACAGTGAAACTGATATGCTATTTTAATGTCTTGTAAGTCATTGTTTTGATTTACCAGTGAATGTTAAGCTACAAACACTTGATTTTAAAAAACACGGTGCCATTTCTCTACTTACATTTCACCATCCAGATCACTGCACCGCATATTTTATAGTCATTTTAAAGCTGAAATGAGAAGAGGGCATTGAAGTCGGAGAAACTTTTACGCACACAATTTGAGTTTTATTCCATGTTGTTTCATAATTAGATCACTGTGACCAGGGACATTTAAGATATGTCCCAAATATTTTGTTGCCGATCACGTTTTCTCAAAGTTGATTCTCTTCAGGTATTATCAGTTTACATATCTACACAGAGCTTTTATAATGCTGTACTCATTATTCATATTTCACTTAGAAAGAATGGTGAGTTTAGTAACAGTGTATTATTCACATTATACTATCTATTAAAAGTTGTTTATTTTGTATGTCAGCAATGTACAATACACATGCTATGTCAGTTAACGGGGAGATGTATATAATGTATATACGACTTGATGAGAATTGAAATAAAGTTATGAAGAAATATACATTTTCTTCCTCGTGTTATTCCGCTACATTAAGTAATTAATTAAAGGAGTTGAATTTTCGACGATCATTGAAATCGTTAAAAAAGTCAAATTTTCAAATCTATCAGAAACCAATGTCTTGTCAATTGTAATTACAACATATTTTACCAGTTGGTACACATAAAACAAGTAAAAGAAATCATTAATTCACTGTAATCGCTTTCCAACCAAAATAGTACTTGAGTAGTCAAAATCGGACAATCACCTGGCCCCTGAATCGGGATGTCACCAGACGAGAACGAATGAGGGCGCTCNCAGCCGGTAACCATCAATTCTGAACTGCTCATCTGGGAATGAGTCGTCCACCTTGGTTTCTGCTATGCCTAGTAGATCCACTGGTACTCGTCTCAGTGATTCACGGATGTGAATTACTTTGTGGCGAAAACTGTTAATGTTTATGTAGGCAGCAATAAACCCTTTGGGATGGTCCTTTTTGATGTTATCAAAGAAATCAGTATTTTCACACTCACCATCACTACTGCTGGAGTACTGTGTACTATCCAATACTGAGTTATCAAAGAAAGAATCACTGATTGATGGCAATTGACAATTGTAGCAGTGCCAATCGCTGTCACTTGCTGATAGTCTCCCATATTCAGCGTTAGACACAGAAATCACTTCCGGCAAACATTTGACATGATGCCAGTAGTCACAAGTATCACAACATAGTCCCTTCTGGTTGGACTTTACTGGTTTACTGCATATTCCACATGGGTATTTGTAGTTCCTTTTGGCTGGTCCGGGAACTAACTCCGTGTGGCTTTCCATAAAATTACGTTAAGTTAAAATATGCTGGCCGTCAACGAAAACGTTTCAGCAAAGGGAAAAGTAGACAATTATATTAACCAAAACAAGCTTTTTTTCTGGAAGCTATAAAAATGAGAATTATTGGAGTTTGTTCATTGAAGTGATCAGTTGTCATTTCGCAGTGTTTTCAAAATTTTGTCATATATCAGGGTACGTATGGTAGACATGAAATATGGTGAAATGTATTCTTTGAGACGTTTGTAAGTGTGGCATGAAAACTACATTCATGTCTTGTCCACTGTAACTACAACCAGTTGGTACACATAAAACATGCATAATACCCACATTCTTTACAGAAATAAGTATTTATTATAATCCCTTGTCAACCAAAAAGTATTACGAATTTCATAGTCAAAATGTGAAAATAACATTACACATACTTGAAGCAGAAAAGTAAGAGCAGGAATGCCTTGCTAGCTCGATACTCTCTTTCACCAATGAATATTCACCGAGTGCTGAACACGGGATTCAAGCTCAATCCCAGCTAAAAAAATTAAATATGAATGATTTGGTATGATATCTTAAAAGCTCAGCTAACACACAAAATGTGTAAAACAGCCACAGTTGTGTCTTTAAAATCACATTTGAAATAAGGAACAAATTTGTGCTCAATATCAATTTCACGTTATGCTCAAATTCCAATGATTGCCCAGTTTATTTACATCATATCAACTCTTGAATATAGCAATACTGACTTCACACATTATATAAACATATCAAACCTACAACAGAAACAATGCATTAAAATCTTGATATTCTAAAATTGCACTATGTTTGATGACCTCTAATTTTTTACCATAACTGGTTCAGAAAATGTTCAAACTTCAATTGCACTATCATAACTGTAGATTAGTCTATCCTGACAAACCAAATTGTAAATAAATTTAGTATTCAGATATTGAAGTGCACTTGGACGCACCCCCTTCTAATAATAATAATAATAATAATAATGTTGTTTTCCGAAACATATTTAAAATGTGAAAACTTAATACTAATAAGTTTTTTCCATCTGTAAAATTCAACAACAATCGAATCTAGATACTTCTTTTCACTTTAAACAGATTCCAATATTTTACTGAACATAGACTTACATGTTTTTACAGAGACAACTTTGAAATCTTGCATTTGAGACACATTCTAATGCATATATATAAAAACAAATAGATAATTTCACCATGATTACACCCTACCCATTTACAACAATATAATACACATCAAATTTCATAATCAAAATTAATTAAAAAAAACATAAGTAAATTACAAGACTTGAGTTACAATCTAAAAGAAGACTATCCCAGGCACAAAGTACACTATGTCAAAAAACTACAAATAATTTATCCCGAATAATCATCCACCTACATCTGAAGTTATTATCTTACTCCTACTAAAATGATATTCTCAACTGTTAATAACAACAATAAAAAAATCTTATTTGTCTTCCCTCACAGAAGGAATCAATATTGTAATATGATACACCGTTTCATAAATATCAATGGTTATATTTATAAGATTTGTCATCTGAGATCTTTACAAGACCACAAAACTTGAATTCATCATGCATCTTTAGTCCACACAACAACAATCTATAACTATATGCACCGTATAAAAATGTAAAGAAATAAAAACTGAAGGGCTCTTTCATAAAACTCTAACAAACTATTTGTCAAATCTGGTTGTTAGAAACCAAGGACTAGAAAACATAAGGATATTTATATGGATAGGTCTACCACATATAAAATTCAGGAAGAAAAAACAACAGAAAAAAGGAGAATCCAGTAGATAAAAAATCCTCCTCCATAAGCATGCACCTCTCTAATTTCTTTACTTTTCACCATGATTTAGATATAACTCAACGCTATATATTAGCCTTGCAAAACTGAAATGGCTTATGTAAAAAAAAAAAAAAAAAAACATACAAATATGACACATATATCAAGAGAGTATAATGAATGATGTACCAGAACCTCTGAGCAATCTGTCACCTGTCTAAATTTCTGGATCCTGAATGGATACAAAATCTCAAGAAGTCTCTGGAGCCCTGGACATCACTTAAAAAATAACTGCTTTGCCTAAATCTTTGCCTAATTTTGCATTTACTCTTCTAATAATTAATAAATAAATGAAATCATGAAAACAATTATACTTAATTCACAATCATTCTATTATCCAAGAATGAAACAAAATGAAAAAATGTCTAATCTAATACAAAGAAAGAGAAAAAGAAAGACCTAGTCTATGATATTTACAATATGGAATGTGCTGCCATTATTATGGGAAATCACCAACTGTTGTGGTCAGTGAACTGTGAGAGAGATTCTCCCTCTACTATAGCACAACTTACATCTTCACAGCTGTCATAGTATTAACCTGGTCTATGCTTTGCTTGACCCAATATTTTTACAAATTTTACAATGTCGAGGCACTTACAATGTCACTGAGGTATTGTACAGCAAACCTGAAAAGACTACACTGAAAAACTGCAGAAATTTGCCTGAGTCTCGTTTTGCCCTTTTTGCCTTTTTTTCCTCACAGCAACAAGTACTTCAAAGCTTCAGGTACGTAACAGTCTCTCTTATGGAATCACTTCCTCTCGCGGCAAATGGTCTGGAGTCTCCGTGTTTGTTACGACAGTGTGCGTCACGTTGCTGGGAGGTTCTTTCATAAAAGACGGCACAGCGGTGTTCTTGATGTGCAAGAGTCGCGTGTTCATCACCTCACAGTCTATCTGCATCATGGCCATGTCACCTGGCGGGGGCTGCATAGTCTCTGGAACAGGGAACAGACCTTTTAGATTTCAATTTGTGATAATTACAAGAGTTTTAAAATCACATGTCTTTAAGATGGGATTATCATCATCATTATGACCACTTTTATAATCTTTACTATAAGCAGAGGTAGTATAAGAAGAAGCATTGTAATAGTCATTTCCTCTTAGAAAATACCTAAACACTTAAAAATGTTTCCGTAATAATCAGTTACGAGCCTGAAACTGAAATAATTCTATTGCAACCCAAACAACACTTCAACAATCTACTCAGAAGTGACAGGTGCCCCGTGTGCACACTTTTCATGGTGTAATAAGTAACTGGAGAGGAACTAAATCTGAAGTAACCGAATCTGTGTCGAGTCTCACCATTCAGTGGCAGTGCAGGCATCAACAGGGACATCCTGGGCCGCATGGTTTTATTGTGAGCCACAGCTGGCAAGAGAAGATGATCCTAGAACACAGGAAATATATAAAATATAAATATACTAAAAACAAGAATGTACTTTATACAAGCAATAAATGCCATAAACTATTACAATCTTTACCTACCTGAGTTTTATTACAAATGAAATGAGCCAAAGTTCAGACATAACAGAACCTCTGATAGAAATGGACCTCAGTTTGCAAATTATTAGAAGATTAAGATAATTAATTCTATGACCGAAAGTCCTGCTTGACTGACAGATTGGAATCACATATCACAAACACTGATCTAATATTTGGTGTATAAAGACAAACATCTTCACACTGAAATATGCATGCATGCACACACTTCTAAAGAAAGTTCAATATACAAAGAGAACACATCTTGGTTTAACTCACCCTTCTAAAAGACACCACGTAAAATGTGTCATTTCTTCTGTGAATGGAATCCAAGAAATCCATGTAGCTCTTGTCTGGGCTGTTGAAGACCTGAACCTGATACTGGCTACTGCCAGGGTAACTGAAAGGGCAAAGGAGAAACATCAACATCAATAACCTGATAAGCAGCTGCTGTTGAAATTATGCTATGTTTCTCCATTACAGCCAAAAACTGTGTAACAAGGCAACTGGGAATATATGCTGTGAAACACAAATTATAACTACAACAGGTTGGGTAAAAGAAATTAAAACAGCCTTAGGAATATGTTTCACAGTCACAGAGTAAATTTCCTTTGCATTAAGTGACAGCTGACTTAAAGCCCTGATAAAGACAACTGAAGTAGAACAATTACTTGTTTGAAAAAAGGAGGTGAGAAGCAAAGTAGAAATGCTGATACTACCAGATGTTAATCCTATGTTCACCTTATGGTGACAGCTGTGAAATATCGACTAACCTATCCTTTGCATATTTAATGTCCAAATCTCCTTTCATCATGGCGTGCAATGTCTTTGGTTTCACATACTTCTTCCTGGTAGGTTTTCTGTTCTTAGCCTCCACAGCCTTCTTTTCCCTGATGTTTTCTTCTTCTAAAATTTTCTTTTTCTTTTGGGCTTCTTTGTGTGCCAAGACCCACCCTGTCAGCTCGTTAGCCAACCTGGAACACAGTGGTTATATATATGTTATAAAGACAGGCGAGAACCCATACATCCATGTACATGCACACATGCGTGCGTGCACGCACACACACACACACACACACACACACACACACACACACACACACACAGCCTACATGAAAACATATCCAATAAGAACACTGAGGTTGATTTTTTGCAAGCACTTTCAAATGTGCTCCCAGCAGGGAAATAAAATACACTGACAAATGCTAAGAGGCAGATTGTGCTATTATGGTCTTAAATGCACATAAACATACCCATAAACAAAGAAATGGAACAGCTTCTCTACAAGATTAACTGACAAACCAGTGCAACAAAATCAAAAACACACTTATCAACTCATTTTTCAGATGAGTAGGTTGACAAGGAGGAATGGGGGTCATTCCCCAAGCAGAGATAATAAAAACAATCACAGTTGTATTCCATGCTTACCTTTGAGATTCAGTTTTATTGAAGTACACTGGACAGAGGGACTCCAGCTCACTATTAAATGCAATGAAGTCTTTATTTTTTCTGAAAAACTTTTCTCTCTCAAATCCCCTCTTCAGTTCGGCTAATGTGCTCTCAATGTCTTCAAAGCTTGCTTTGCTCCTTGGGAAATACTTCCCACTAATGGGCTGCTGCATAGTTTCATCATAGGTTAATAGATGGCGCCCACCTCCAGGATGGACCGAACTCATTGGAATGGCAGCTAGGCTGGTTTCTGATGAGCTTTTAAATACTAAATTGCTGGAATATATGGATAATACAAATTGTATCAGCACAAGTTGAATCAAAAAACCATTTCCATGGCAGAAAATTCAAATTTTGGCAATTTTTCTTCTAGATCTATTTCTTCTACGTCTCAAAAATAAACAGGCATTGCTTAATATATTAGTAAAAATCATGTGAAAACCTCCAAACAACAAAATAAATTTTGTAGCTTTTTGATACTTAAGTTAACTTAAGAGACTGTTTATTTTATGTCAGTAGGTTAACTTACTTTATGGGCCCCAAATTGAGGGCAAACATGAAGAGAACTGTAAGTAGGCAGGTGGCTGTCACCTTTGTTGAACCTGTGCTGCGCTTTAATGCCATGTTCTAGAAATAGGAAAGTGGATGACAAATCATTATAAATTAATGTGAAAATTCATAATGTAATTTTAATCCATAATTATATATATTACTGTAATGTAATCTAGAGTGCACATTCATCCTAAGTCAATCAATTTATAAAATAGATTAAAATTAATGAAAAATTTAACAAAAATGCTAACAGATTCTTTTAAAAAATAAATACATAAACACAAATAGATATAGACAAGTGGACATAAATATAGTTGACACAAAATACAAAGGAAATCATGCAGGAGACTTAGATATAAAATTCTCCTTAAAAATTTACTGCACAGAATTTTTAAATATCTATTTGAAGTGTTCTAATTACAGAATATTTACCTCTGAATTTAATAAACTAAGTTTTCTTTTCAAATTCTGGTTCTCTTGTCTGAGTTTCTCATTCTCTCTTGAAATCTCTTGAAGTTGATTTTCTATTGTAGTCATGTACTGAAAAAAATATTTTGCTTTCTATTACTTTTATTTTCAAATAAGTGTTAAGACATTACATATCAAATACATTTTTTTGTTTTTCAAACAGATGTGTTTATGCTGCTGTGACATGTTTCATGTTTAACAAAATCAAATTCATATCCCTTTCAAAAATTACTTTACAAAAATGATAGAATGCAGAAAGTTTACATCAAAATTTGTTGGCATTATTTATTTTTTCGTGTCAAAATCCAGATTAAAATTCCCATCATCCAATCATATAAAGGCCTTAGTTCCACAAGGTGCTTTTTTTCAGCTGTTTTCAAGTCAGTTTTCAACTTTTTCTCAAATCATTTAAAAACACAATGTTTGTAAGAACCACTTTAATATATTATGAAATATACCTCTTTTTTCCTTTTTCTTGACAAGCTTGCAGATTCTCTATTCTTTATCATTCTCTGTTGTCGTTTCCAAACTCTTGGCTGTGTGGACAAAATGGATTAGACATATTAAAACTTGGTAATAAAATTCTGATATAATTTGATATACCAAAATTGCACAAAGCAATAACAAGAAACAAATCATTTATCATTGAATCACATCTAAATTCACTTGCAAATACGTGAAAACTTCAACCATCATTTGAATGACTTTTCTTAAAACTGGTCACAACTGAAAATGTTGCTGGCATGCATCTAAAATAGACTTATCAAACTACTACAACCTGGGAAAAGGCTACCCAGACCTTCAGGTACCTTGTGTGCTTGTTTTTGTTTTTTTTTTCAAACTATCACATATGCATTTTTATCAGACTCTGACCCTAAATGAACAGACCCATCTATACACCATTTTTGACTGGTACAGTAAACTTCAATCAACTGCCAATGAAGTTAGGCCACAACATTTTAATATTTAAGGAGCTAGCCCATGTTGGCTGTAGAAGTCAGGCTATCATTTCCAAACACTCACATCCTCTCCCTGTGGTACTGGGATACACTGTGCTACTGAGCTGTTGGTCTTGTTGGCCTCCTGCTCTGGGGGATGGAACTTCAGTACTCCCTGGGCAGTAAGCCGGGCAAACTCTTCAGCTGTGAGAACTAGGGGTTTGGAGGCAGCTGTGCCTAACATAGAGGAAAATACTTTTAAATTTAGACAGTCTTCTTCTTCACTAATAATCAAGAGGAAAAAAAGTCTTTTGTCTTCTAACCATAATCTGCATTATACACAGATTCGTACTGGTTTTGGTGTAAATGACATCAAAGAAAGAACTCATGGTTTCCACATTAACACAAACACTGAGATTTCATCACCAATCCTACATCTTACCTTGACTACCTGCACAGGGTGAGCCAGGTGCTACACCAGGTGGCGTTGGTGGCGGTGGGGAGGGTGCAGGGGTCACACAGGCAGAACTATTGGGTAACTTGGGCTGTATCTTCACTTTAGAATTCAACACATTGACAACTTTGGTTGGCAGTGGCTTACTGTCTGGGTTCAGTCCCGTTACATGTGTCAGTTTTACTGTGGTAATGTGTGGCTTGCTGTGTGCGGGTTGAGCTGCTGCTGCTGCCCCCTTCTGGAATGTGACACCACAACTAATGGCTGAAGGCTGTATATACTGGACTGCACTGTCACTGTTGTCTTGGGGAGGAGTTGGAGGAGGACTCTCAAGCTTCACATCAAACTGGTTCAGTAATGGCAGCTGATCAAGGGGGGTCTGCAACAACAACGTTTATATTCTCATTACTCAGTTCCTACATTACTGATGAAGTGACACAAAAATCTTGGGGTAGGTTGCAGAAAAATTGTATAGAAATCAAACATTGTGCGATTATGTAATGACTTAACCTTACTACACACATGAATTTCCATCAGAGCAAAAGGTTATTTCCTCAGACATACCAATTTAAACCAGACTTACAAAAAAATTTAGCAAGATGCTGTGCGGAGAAAATTAATAACTAATAAACAACAAAACAGCACAACTTCATTACAATAGTGAATATTGCAGACTTCATTTTAAATCCAGGCATCAAGTAATATTTCTTACCTGCTGAAGGAAGGAGTCACCAGAGCAATCTGAGGTATGAGACAGAGCAGGGGAGAAAGGTTCTTGTTTGATACTAACACCTGGAAGAAAAAACAACAACATTTATGAATGCCTCACTTATGTATTTAATTTTATTTTAGCTACAGTGATGTACAAACTTAATGAAGCTGATAATTAGAGAATTTCTGACATATTTCTTGTGATCTAGTTTACTGTGAATTACAATAGCATTGGTACTTTCACTGTGAGAATTTATTTTTTTAAAAATCAACAAAAATTCAACAAAAACAAAAGAATATCTTTCACAGTGTGATTCTCTATGACTTTAAAAGATGACATATTTTTTATTTTTCTTCCATTTCAGCACACCAGTTTACATCTTCCAATTCACCCTGTTCAGCAATTTTAAGTAACATTAATCCCTGCTGTCTACTTACTGCTGATGCCACTGTCACTGCTGTTATCCCCAGGGTCTCTCAACCCGTCTGTTTCCATCCAGTCTGGACCAAAGTCAAACTCTCCCAACTCTCCAGGACTCATACCATCTTCTAACATAGGCAGCTGAAAACAAGGAGGGGATACTGTGAGGTCCTGGGGTCCCTTTCTATGAAACAACTTGAGACTAAAAGTATGGTCTACTTCAAGTTGAGATTATTCCTGGCCTTAAAGGCCCACAAAGTCTGTTTCACAAAGGACCTTCACACTGAATGTTTGACTACACTTTTAGACAAAATCATTTGTCCCCTTTGAACCAATATCTGAATAAGTAGTAGTCAAATTAAATAAAAATGGCCCTTAGTTTATAAAAAAGAAAGGAATGGCTACTGTTTTTATAATTGGCAACTGCAAATTTATCTCAAATTGAAGTAGACCAAAATCTCTCTCAAAGCCTTAAAATGAGGACATAATTTCAGTGTGAAGTTGTTTTTATAAACCCAGTGTACTTCAAGTCTACTTAATATCACACAGAAGCAACATTCTTAGCACTTAATTTAACACTGTAGAGGCAGTGGGATTCATTTCACTGTCTGCACTTCTGGAGGGAACAATTTGTTTTAAAAAACCTTCATATAACATGCAACAAAAAGTATGAAAACCCACAGAGATCTGAAATCACTGAGTGAACCAAAGATAATCCTCAGTCAACATTCTTTTTAATTTCAACACAAAGATGTATGCTAGTACATGCCTTGTGTAAAGCTGACACCCAATTGTCCACTTTCCTTGACATTATCAAGCAAAGCAAATAATTATGTTCATTTCATTAATTAACCACTTCATTATTCAAGATAGCTCTCCATACCTCTAAATCCTGTGGCAGCTGGTGAAGCAGTTCATCAGAGGCTAAACTTGCCTCCACATCTATGAGACTGGAGAAGTCATCTAACTTGTCCAGGTGAGCTGGATCTGGAAAGATAAAGATGGTCAAAATACATATATTACGGTACTAACTTGTTCTTGTATTAATACATTTTGTTTGGTTGTAGAGAGTCATCATAACTACTGTACTAGTACACCCATCTTTCTCCGCGAGAAACATGTAGTGCGATCTCAACCATTTAACAAATGGTGAGATATCTGTAATTATCTTCTTTGTAACCAACCTTCGTATCCAAACACATTGTTCAACCAAGAAAATGCTTTTTCATATGCCATTTCAAGTCCTTCTTTCCCTCTAACTAAATTGTATAGATCTCCAATCTTTCTGCTGTTTCAAGTTCCAAGCAATGTATTGGAAATAACTCACTTCAGAATACTTAATAATTTAGCACACAAGCAATATTTTTCAATGCTGGTAGCATAAAGTGTAAGATGTGAGACAGGTAAAGGTTTGTATTGCCTAGCCTTCAGCTTACGCCTCTTCTACAATCAGAAGAACTGCTCGAAGTTGTTTCTTCATTTCGTGACAGTCAGATCTCTAACAGTAGTGCCTTGTTTTGAAAGTTGCCAAAATATCCAGCAACATAAAACCAACGAAAACCATGTTCTTGGTACCAATCCACATATAGCTGAATAAAAAAATCTGCATAAAAACCAGTAGCACTGTAGCTTTGATATAACTCTTACATCACAGAGTCATTACAGTCTCCAGTCTTGGAACTTGGGTTCTTGCGCCGAAGGCATGCCTTCTTAAATCAACTGGAAACTGCCACAAATTGAAATGATCCCTTTTCTCTTGTTTTCAAGATTCCATCCCAAAATTGCCATAACAAGGCACAAGGATAAAGCTATTCCAATCATTCATGTATGAAAACTACTGCTGATAATGACTGCTACTGGCTATAAAATGTGTTGTAGTCTTGCTACAACATCTGTGACACTTGCATACATCTGAAATTCTAGGAGCCGCCAGTGTCATATATGCAAGCCCACCTGCCTGCAGCAAAGGATGTAGGTTTTTACTTTATATATGACCTGGCTTCCAATGCTCTGATACTGTTTTCCCAGAAAGCCGAGTTTCTAGTCCTAGCAGCCTCCTTTCCAAAGCAAAGCAATCACTTCTTTTCAAGAAGAAACATCAGCATAAAAAAAATGACATCGCATATTACAAAACTAGTAATTTCAACACTTGTTTTCTTCTCCTCTTCTTTAAGTGTTTAACAATTATTCCCTGGTTTCCTTCTTCAAGATAAGTTTTTAAACATGAGAACAGTTGCATGCAGTGTGATATTTATATTATATTATAGGCACATGATCATCTTGCTTAATAAAGAGTTCAGAGATATTTCCCATGCCAGAAGTCCTCCAGACCATTTCACATTTCCACATGGAAGCACAGTACAAAAGCAGTTTTAAAAAATTCAAAACAACTGAATTAAATGGCAATTACTTAATTCAGTGAGATGATTTATAGACCACATGGTATCCCCAGCTCAACTCTGTGCTTGTTTTTGTGGCTGATGTAACCAGACATTATTCACTGAAAATATTCTGCGTACACCACATCTAAAGGGTCAGCTGAGTCCAGCAACGGCCAGTTCTGTTCCATGGCAAAAAACACAGAAGAAAATGCAAGACCAAAAATAATCAACCAGCAAGTGAAACTCCCAAGAGACAAAGAAACAAAGACTACAAATGCTACCTGTGCCCGCATCATAGCAAGTGTTAAATGACCAATCATATTTGACCTGACAAATTGATCCAAGCTTTTGATGTATTGTAGCTGTAACACAATAGACAGGTGACGTAGTGCATGAAACAAAGATATATGGAACAATTATAGTTATACCACCATTAGCTTTTCCACAAACAATGACCCGACTTCCTCTTCAGTTCAATATTAGACATGTAATCACCCAACAATACATGGACTTATCTCCTTAGAGTTAAGATCAGGCTTTGCTCATGTACACACTTCATTTAATCTAACAGGAAACAATTGCTTGGTCAAAAGATGACTGAAATAATTTGTACTCATTATATTTCTTGGAAAAAAATGGACTTCAGAAATGGTAAAACAGGCATGATCAGCAGAATGCATTCAGATATATATATCTAAATTCAGTATTTCAACAATCATCATAGTGAATGGTCTGATTTCCTACATTCATAAATAATCAATCCCAATAGCTTCTTCAGTCTAAATCTTTTTCTACCTGTAAGCAATCAAGCTGAATATCCATGCATCTTAAACTCTTTTGATGCTGCAGTTACAGTATATTCACTAAAATAAAATGTACCAATCTGTGGTTGCTAGGCATGCTCCCCATTAACATATTATTTTCACCACTCTTTATATAATTAGTTCTCTAATGACTTAAAGTCTCTTTTTTTTCTGCTGAAGTGCATTAGTAATGTGGCAGATATTTTTTTCAGGCTGTTTTCTCAAAAGTCCTGTTGTCACACTAATTTCTCAGGTGGAAATGACAACCCCTATCTTCTGCATGCTACGTACTACATCATCAGGCAAAACTGAATTATTAAATCCTGAAATAATAACCCTGCATATTTTGTAATCATGCCAACAGAATGACATTTTCTCATGAAAAATAAGTTACTTCTATATGAAAAATGAGGCCAACATCAAGCAATTTGGACACAATACACAGTATCTAACAGAGATATATCTGCAAACAGAAATGAGGTGACAGGAACATAAAATCAATAATACAAACACAAAACTATTACTATTGCCATATTGTGATAAAATATGATTGTTTGTACTTAAATGGCAATTGTTTGTAGAGGATAACTTTGTTTATTGTATGATAGGATGATAACCTGAGGCAAAACATTATCAGACAAAGAGACAAAGTCTTTATAGTGCTCATTGCTATGTGAACCGATACTTCATAAATATGTAATTTAAAAAGCTACGTTGAAAGTATAGCATGGAAAAATAAGGTAATTAAATGTTGGGAATATTGATTTATTGCCAGCAGACAAAATATGGAATTTTAAAAGCACTTATAAAGTCATATGTGGGACCCTTTATATACATGTATAATGAGTCCATGACCTTCTGTAGTTATAAACAAGCANCAACAACAATTACTGAACTCTAAACTGAAAGAACATTGTAGTGTGAAAACATTTATACTACGAGTCTTACTACAACTTCATCACAGAGCAAAACAGTTCAGTCACGATCACAATCTCAGTAATAAGGGCTGTGTCACACGCTTCCTTTGGTGTTTATATAAAACTTTTCCAATATTCCTCCGTGGAGTTTATTGTAAGATTATCAAATACATACTCTCTCATGGCAAAAACCACTGAATTACGAATTGAAAGGTCAATAGTTCCAAAAATACCTACGACGATATCGTCATACCGGAAGTCCCTTCTTTCAATCTACCCTCAATGCGCATGTGCAGAACGGTTTCGGCACGGCACGGGTCTATCACGCCACACCGGTAAAACAGGCATGATCAGCAGAATACTTTCAGATATATATATATCTAAATTCAGTATTTCAACAATCATCATAGTGAATGGTCTGATTTCCTACATTCATAAATAATCAATCCCAATAGCTTCTTCAGTCTAAATCTTTTTCTACCTGTAAGCAATCAAGCTGAATATTCATGCATCGTAAACTCTTTTGATGCTGCAGTTACAGTATATTCACTAAAATAAAATGTACCAATCTGTGGTTGCTAGGCATGTTCTCCATTACCAAATTATTTTCACCACTCACTTAGTTCTTTAATGACTTTAATTCTTTTTTTTTTCCTGCTTAAGTACATTACTAATGTGGCAATTTTTTTTTTTTTTTTTTTTTTACAATAAATGATCAGGCTGTTTTCTCAAAAGTCCTGTATCACACTAATTTCTCAGATGGAATTGACAACCCGTATCTTCTACATGCTATGTACTACATCATCAGGCAAAACTGAATTATTAAATCCTGAAATAACCCTGCATATTTTGTAATGACGCCTACTCTTAAACAGAATGACATTTTCTCATGAAAAATAAGTTACTTCTATATGAAAAATGGAGCCAACATCAAGCAATTGGGACACAATACACAGTATCTAACAGAGATATCTGCAACAGAAATGAGGTGATAGGAACATAAAATCAATATTACAAACACAGAACTATAACTATTGCCATATTGTGATAAAATATGATTGTTTGTACTTAAATGGCAATTGTTTGTAGAGGATAACTTTGTTTATTGTATGATAGGCTGATAACCTGGGGAAAAACATTATCAGACAATGAGACAAAGTCTTTATAGTGCTCATTGCTATGTGAACTGATACTTCATAAATATTAATTAAAAAAACTACACTGAAAGTATAGCATGGAAAACAAGGTAATTAAATGTTGGGAATATTGATTTATTGCCAGCAGACAAAATATGGAATTTTAAAAGCACTTATAAAGTCATATGTGGGACCCTTTATATACATGTATAATGAGTCCATGACCTTCTGTAGTTATAAACAAGCAGCACCTTCTAGCTTCACTCTGAATAAGATATCAGTTTAAAACACATACACTAGTACAGATTATGACAAAATGTTAGTTTAGTCTTAAAACATCTAAGGCAAAAAGAAGTCAGTCTTCTAAACAGGTGCTCTTTTTTTCACTTTAGTTGCCTGGATCTTTTATTTAACTTGTTATTATTATTATTAAATGTTATAATTTTTTTTTTTTTTTTGGGGGGGGGGGCTTGATCACTTAAATCTTACAAAATTCTAAAGAGTAAATGATATCATAATCAGTACATTTTTTGTAGATTTTAGAGTTATCATCCTCCATTAATGTTTCACATGCACCCAAATATCACCTCTTCATAAACTAGTATCCTAACTATAAATTTGTCACTACAGTATATAAGTCAGTTAGCAATGAACATTAATTATTGTTATCTTTCTCATTGCTTTACAGTAAGATTTCCCGTAGAGTAGCATCACAGGAAGAGGGTTGTAAAAAGAGATAATATCTTATCAGTACTTAAGTGCCATTTAGTACAGTTTTAATTATCATCATTAAGGCAATTTAAATGTCTCTATTATCACTGTCACAACAAGATAATTTATAACAATAGATCACACTCATTTTCAAACACTTACGCCATACTCTGTTATAAAGACTGAACTGAATTTAAAAAAAAATAATATTAAAGCCACAAGCAAGCTACTCAATATATAATTAATAAAAAAAAATCTTTGTTAAATTATGTGATATTTTTCAAAATTAGTGATGAATAATATCAAATCTCTTCACACAATGAGGTACCATCAGTGGTATAAAAACAAATCTAGAATACAGAAGAAAATGAAATAAGCTAACATGTAAAGTTATGCAATTTCATGAAACATTTCATAATTCCCTAATCAGCTGCTGATGCCAAAATTCTTGTGTGTTTTTCCGCAACATCACTGAACATGTAATTTATTTTTAATCCGGAAAAAACATAAAAAGTGCCAAAAATGATGAAAAATAAGGAATAGTAAAAGATTTTACATCCTAAACATACATGTATTTATCTTCACCCTGTTATATTTTTGTGAACCTTGCCTTGGGAAGAAAAACTACATAAATGACATCAAAGCACTGTTTGTTTTACTGCTACAATCAAGTTATACTGTATGATAAGACATGACATCACACTGTTGCAGCAATATAGTACGCCTTGTTCCCTAGAACTGGTAGTGCGAAACTAAAAGCTACTATTTAGCAATTTACAATTTTCAGTTCCCAAAGCCGACAAATGCAGGAAACGGAACATACAATATCAGAGTGGAACGATACACGACAGACGACAACATGGTTTACACTATACCGCTCATTTCACGGAACCTTTAGATACGCCCCAGTAGAATTTCCAGAGAGACAACGCAGGGTAAGAAACATCCGGGTTGTGGGTGTATGGCCCAGGTGCGATTTCTTCGTACCTGGCAACAACTCAATTATTGGCATCTTATTAGCAAAAATAGACTTACCCCAATCTTCATTCGACAATAAATTATCCGCAAAAAACTGGGTATCAGTGGCTGATAAAACATCCGCCGCCATGGCCACTTAAACTTGTGAAAAAACACCAGAATTGATTTCTTTATGCTGTAATTTTCCAGATAAATGTCTGCGTGTGCTACGCTTTATTTACTCGATAGGTGGCACTTTTACATGCCAATCTGATACGTAGTGTGAATCTCTTGGCCGTTGTCATATGAAATTGATTAAACGCCATACTGCTTAAATTTAACTCCCAAAGTTACAAAATATATTTTGGCATCTTTTTCCACCTAATTGCTCTTTAAATCGATAACGACGTGAGCATTTGTCAGAGGGAGTTTATCTTGTAATAACAGAGCACATGCTTCATCTAGTGACGAATAAGTGAACTAAAGTGCAAAAGCTATTCTGTAGAAAACATCGCAAATGGATTTACTGGTATGATGGCATTCCATATTTTGTGTTTCTAGGTAAATAGGAAAATTGTCCAAACCTACAGTTACGAGTAGTACGGCGTTTTATGTATTGGTCGTAAAGATATGCCGAAGAAGAAACCCCCCGTCCCCGTTCTACCTGCCAGGCCAGAGCCACCTACATTGGAACAAATTCAGGGAGACCTGCAACACGTCACAGCGGGCGATGTTGTATATACCATGATAAAAAAGATTTTCGAAGGTCATTAGATTTAGTCATTTGATTGTTTATTTTCTTTATTTATTCGTGTATTTTTGCCTTTGATATATTGATTCTAGCCATCCTGATACCTTAAGTTGTTTTAATACCTCAGTAACCTGTCTAAAAGTTAAAAAAAAAGATTAGTGTGCTATTCTGTATCTTTGTACATTTGTGCACTATTCACTAGTACTGTTTGTTTGGATTTAACTGTCACCATTTGCCAAGGTTGTCACAACCTTTGGAGTTTATTCATATTTCTTGTATTTACTATTCACACACACAAACACACACACAGAGAGAGAGAGAGAGAAGTCATGGTCTCTTAAAAGGATTTACCCAAGATGAAATTGCCTACTAGTATGTAATTTTCATGATTCATAGAAGTGGAGAAGGATCAAAAAAATTAATATGCATTTGCTCAGATTATGATTTACATATCTTCCCTTTACAATGTTTACATTATTGAAGACAATAGATTCCTTTCTCCTTCCAGAGTCTGGGTCTAATGATACTGAAGTCAGTGGTTTGATGGATGTTTCAGATGAGAGTTGTGCTGCAGGCACACCCACTGTCTCACCTAACACAATATCCCAGCCATCACAACAGCAGCATTCAGAGGACATGGACACTGACGTCAGTGAATTTTACAATAAAGTGATACAGTTTATTGAACTCAGTAAAGACCTGCGTGCTGCCCCCGAGACTTTGAAGGCTTACTACGAGGAGCTTCAGAAGATGGGTGGCAGACTGTCTGAAGCCATTAATGAATTAAAAAGCCAAGTTGAATCCACTGGGGTACAAGCACCATGTCGATAGTAATTATAAGTGCAGCAAAAATGTGTCACTTGAAAAAAAAAGTCAGAAAATGTAACAGACTTGCTAGTCCTGTGGCTGTGTATCTGACCAGGGATGAGTTTGAAGAAAAATGTAAAAATGTGGACTTTTCACTGAAATAAAGTTTAAGAACTTTGAGTTTAATGATGCGACAAAAACTTTCACTTTTGTCAAGGAATGTATTATACTAAGGTCAACTGTTTCAGACCAAAATAAATCTTCATATGAGATTCAAAATTCCCCAGTAAATATATTGCAAAAAACACACAATAATGTAATAAATTGCAATTTTCCACCAAAATGACAGTTAATTGTAATATCCGGGTATTGCAAGATAGCGTGCTGACATCTGAAACAATATATTTCTAAAAACATTGAAAAAAAAAATCAACCTTTGTATGTTGGAACAAATTCATTCACCATTGGGAAGTATGGGAAATTGACATATACTCCAGGAAAATTCATTTTATGGCACTTTTCATGCCAAAATGAGTTGTATCCCTTTAAACGATAACTTATTATCATCCTTTACAAGGTTCTATTTTGTAATAATTTTTACCAAAATATGGTGCTGGTGCTTTCTTGTACAACTGAGGTGTAAATAATCTTGTTCACATAGAAAAATATTAGAAACACTTATAATGTCTAGTTGGTTGAATAGATTTATTTTCTTTTTTTTTTCCATATATTTTTAAGGCCAGTTCTGAAGGACAAAAATACAACCCTTAAGTTTGAAAGTACGTTAGCTTAATCTTGATGTTATGGTGATAAGGTATAAAGATTCAGCAGTCATTCCTCAGACAAGTCCTCTGCTGCTCATCAAATCAGTGCCACTTACTATTGAACAATTACATGGAAACCTGAAGTACTTTGACAGTTCTAAGCCAGTACAAATATACTTTATTTAAACCTCAGCAATGATTTGGGAATCACATCAGTAACATTATTGCACATTGCAGTTTCTCATTAATTTTTAAGCACCAATTTCTTTTTATCTAATTTATTCTTAACAGTACATAAGTACCTATTTATTAAATGTTTTAGGAACAGAAAACAAAAACATATTTGGAGAAAATGTAACTAATTGATTTTGTTTGACCTCAGTTACCTTTGAAATTTTAAATGCTGAATCAGCTGGGCTTCACTAAAAGGCCATTTGTATGATTATAAAATAAGTATTGGAAAAGTACATAGGATATACCTAAAAATATTGCAATTCTTTATTATCCTTTTAAAATAGATTTTTAGGTACTTCTTACATTGAGCAATACACTTACATGACACTGGACCAGTATACTTTGAAAGTGATTCTACTATAGTATCTCTTACAAGTTTGTTTCCTGCTGAAACAGGGGTGCCATTTAGGTGACTTACTAAAGGAATAGCCAGGCTATGAAGTTGGTTATCCCTCATAGTGTTCTGGACTGGTTAAGTGTACCACTCCATGTAAAAAGGGCTCTTAAAGTGACATTACAAGTGCAATTTGTAGCTTCCTAACACTATGTCATGGTTCTGCTGTGAGCAAATCACCACATACTTTACACATGATATGCTCCAGTTCATAATTTATATATTATTCTAAACATTATTATCTATTACATTAAACACTTTAACTTGAACAGATCATCGTACTAAAAAATTATTAATAATCCCATAACTGAGAAAATTCATGCAAGGAAGAAGAAGTGGAAACATATATAAATGCAGCAGAAGAAATCCAGGAGCCTTCAAATATACTTTAAAACTGTCATCTTTATAATATAACATGCAACAATAACTGAGAACGCAAGTGTAAAATAAAGTAAATGAGGTGCTTACGCACAAATAACATATGATGACATGACTTAAATGACAATAACAATAGATTACACTTAAAAATAAATAAGATCAGCAATATATGTGTATATTATTTATATATATATTGTAAAAACAATCTCAACACCAGTTGCACTATTTCACATAAGTTTCAACATATTCAACGTTATTACACTGTCCAACTTTCAGGTAAAAGAGCAACAAATAAATGTCCAGTCATGCTATGGCTCAGGAAACCTATATAGTCATCTGATTACAGACTAGTCTGGATAACCAACATATCCCAACACTTTAATTGGCATTTCCAGTTTTTCTGATTGGCAACTTATATAAAATATTTTAATCAACTGACTACTTCATTAATGAAAGCATTACCACAGAACCAACTATGGTAAGAATCCAAATCGATTAAAACTGGCACTTCATTAATTTTAGACAAGTAGACAAGAAATAACACACTAGTTAGCAGTACATTGAAGAACCTGAATGTTTTCAGTTTTTGTCAAAAAAGACTGTTATCAAGATCAGACCCACAATTTCTGAGGCTCTATTGAATAATTTTGCACAAATATTTTATAATGCAGGAATGTCATAAATGTATCACTTCTTTTTAACCCTTTCTTTCTTTATCAAAACACTTCCCAAAAGGGCTGCCAAGCTGCAGAAGTATTAAAACAAACTTTCGAATGCTTTGATAGTGGCTTATAAATAGCTTAAAAAAGTAATATGAACACTTCATTTAAAACCATCAAATGCAAACAATCCATCATTATTCTAATACAGTTCACAAATGCCTTATTTCTTTTTAAATATAATTATGCTTGCTAAAGGGCCTAGATGACTCCTTGAGATTAAAATTACTCAAGACCGAGGAACAGTGGACTGCAAAAATGAGAGTTTTGTCCATAAGGTATTGTTGGGTTTCTTATCAATGTTAATTCTAACCCAGTCTGAAGGCACATCAATTGCACAAATGCCTGGACAGGAGCACAAAAGTTCTAATGCTTGTGTGGCTTGTCTTGGTTAATCTCTTTTCAACCTTACATCAGCAGTCCATGACTTCCATGCTCATAAATGCCAGTCTTGACTGAAAAAAAGCCCCAAATATTAATTATACACATCCGAAATAAATTCCGGTCCATAAAAAGTTTTTGTGCGACAAATGTTTGTATTTAAACACAAAATGAGGATGATACATGGAAAAACAATAAACATAGAAAGAAAATGATTTTTTTTGGTGTGTGTGTGTGTGTGTCACCCTGAGCTTCAGAGATAACTTGACACTAACCTCTTCACTATAGCCTATCTTCATCGTGTCAAGTTACCTCTGACGAAAATAGTTTGACCTAGTTTATATAAGCCAATCGAATCCAAGTTTCAAAATTTTTCACCAAAGTTTGGTGAAAACACTGATTGGTTGACCGTCAATCGGCAATCTTCGGCTGATTCCGCAAGCTCTATACTAACAACAAAGTTANATCTTTGATTGGTCCAGATTTGAACAAAGCGCGCCTTGACTCGTTCGCGTTCATTGGCTAGATCGTTCAATGAGTCATTGAGTGCGGGCTTTGAATTTGATTGGCGGGCGGCGGAGGCAATCGAATGTGGTCAGAGGTAAGTTGACACGATGAAGATAGGCTATTGTGAAGAGGTTAGTGTCAAGTTATCTCTGAAGCTCAGGGTGGTGTGTGTGTGTGTGTGTGTGTGTGTGTGTGTGTGTGTGTGTGTAAATTTATGCTTTTTATTGAAAACACAGATGACTATTTAGAATTAAATTTATGTTTTTATCATCTATAAACTATAACTGTACACACTTTATAAACTTGTTATACATTCTTCAAAAATATCATTAGAAAATTGCACCCTTATAATTTCACCACATTTTGTAAATTAACTGATGATCCCTGTCTTAAATGCTTAATCAAATCAAACTTGCTCTTCTTCCTAGTACAAAAATATCCTAGTTACCCCTGACTGGCCCACCAATGGCATGTCATCACCAGCATCAAGTAGTGGTTCATCATCATCATCTTCAGCTCTGTGTAGCGTCTGGCTCCTTTCTGAAGGAAGGTCTGTCTCTCCTGTGTCATGCCTCTCGCGCACCAGCTCTGACTGCATTTTCACAAAACTGATAAATACCTGTGAATAATAATTTGTAATTTCAGAGCCTCATGTAATGATTTCTTTTCTTAAAGGAAGCCAAAGACTCTGAGATCTAGATAACTTAAACTTTCATAAAAATATCCATGTAAACAAACTGATATCCCCTAGGGAACAACTTTGATCAAATTGTTAAATAATCTTATCATCTTTTCAAACTGCTGAAAACATGAACAGCACATCAGAATATTCAATGTACAAGGTAGGAGTATCTGTTCACCAGGGATGGTAATGCATGCTGCTATAGTGATAAAGAACAGAAGAGCTATCAGCAGGTCAGCATCAATCTACAAAATTTACACAATCAAAAATAAATAACCCTGGTCCCTTACATTATCTAATGTATTCTGACATATGGAGTACTCCTCCACATTGAGATCACGTTGGGCCTCCTCCATCTTGGCAAAGGCAGTCCCCAGGGAGAGGGTGCTGGATGCGAGCTCGTACTGGACAGTGTTGTGATGCTGCTCCTGGAGGACAAAACTCATTTCATGAACAGAAAATTTGAAACACTCAAGCATGTTGATTTATTAGAAGAAATTGTGTCAAATGAAATTAGACAGCAAAGTTTAGACGTGTACAGTCATTTGATCAACAGAAGAAATAAACTCTTCACATAATAATCTAAATTATAATTTATCACAAGAAAATATCATATGGCACATTTTTCTTATATTACCTCACATCAATATAAAAATTGTGTAACTCAAATCTTTGAATATCACAAAAATGTTTCACACAGAAAACATTCAAGATAAGTAAAGGCTGTAAGCAAATTTACATATATATTTAACATTGATTTCTCCTTACCTTCAGTTCAGCGTCTGGGAAATGTCTATTCATATAGCGCCTGACTGCCCTGACCTCTCTATCAATATCATGACCTTTAACCCTAACAGTTACGGTGTACCCCTTGCCAAATTTATTTTTGAGGTGCTGTATGCTTCCTATGCATTTGAAATGACCGTTCACCATGATAGCCAGACGAGTGCACAGTTCTTCACATTCCTCCATGCTGGAAGAAAGATTCAATTATGTAAAGAAGTCAGTAACTAAATTTCAAACAAATGAATTATTTTTCCCAAATCAGTTTGTCGATTAAATTAATACCTGAAAAGCAGACAAAATGTTCAGGATGAATGAGGTGTTCAAATGTCATAATTTGTGAGAAATTTTCATTCTTTACAGATGTAAATACATACAGAAATAGACTGTGTTTATGACAGGATGTGAAACCATAAGCACAAACCCATCTAAAGCTGCCTCCAAGTCAGTTTTTGTTCAAAAAATGTTTTAGATTCAAAAACGGCCACAGGGCAAACAGACCAGTAAATCAGTAATTTATTGGCTAAGGTCAGTTAGCATGTCTGTGTTGATGACTTTCCACACAGCTACCCACCTTTAAAATAATTTCAGGTTTTTTTCAAATAAACAACCTAAGACAACAAAATCACTCTTTAACCATTTTGATTGCATGGCAGTTGTTAAAACTGTCATGAAAACAGCTAATAATTAGCAGATGTACAGACCTGTGCGATGTGAGAATTACTGATCTTCCATCTTTGATGAGGTTGAGGATTATATCCCACAGGAAGCGCCGGGACTGTGGGTCCATCCCGGTGGTGGGTTCATCCTGGAGCATAGCAAATTACAGACTTTTATCAGACCCGATGCATGTATATATACAAACTGAGGGAATAAGTGGATTTAAACCACAAAGAAAGATATTTATCAGTTATATTTAGAGACTTGCAGAGGCATTCTGTTTGAAAGTATTTCCCTACAATAGATTAAAATCCCTGAAAATGAGGTGCAATATATTTTGTTCACCTCACAGGACCAGAATTTGGCCAATAGGGATCTTGTTTCAAAATTGGTACTACTAAATAATAAAATGCTATCAAACACTCATTTCACATACTTTAAAAACAATGCCTTCCTTTGTGCAAAATATTCTGAATATAAAGCATTACAATACTGAATTGTTTCTAAGTACTATATTTCCATTCAACTTACCAGGAATATAAAACATTACATTACTGAATTGTTTCTAAATACTAAATTTCCATATCACTTACCAGGAATATAACAGGCGGGTTACCTAGCAGTGCAATAGCTGTGGACAGTTTTCTCTTATTACCACCACTGTAAGAGCCAGAGAGGTTATCTGCTAGAGACAACAGATCAAACTTCTCCAGAGCCCACTGCACTACCTGAAGATTGGAAACAAAAATAGGTGAACACTCCACACAATAACAGTGAGTTGTGTTTACTGCACACTTAAAAATGCCCAGTTACAAATGATAACTTAAAAAAAAAATTAAAAAGAGGAAAGGGCAACAGAAATGGCAAGGTGAAGGTGACAGATGCAAGTGAGCTCCACATCTCCAAACACACAGTCTGACCATAAAAATTAACCATTAGTAGTCAGTGATGTGGTCATGGTGGTCACTGACATACATACGTAGGCATAAGAATCGCTGATATATGTGGACATTACAATCCCTGATATAACTGAACTCACCATCTTCTCATCCTTGTATGGTACACCCCTCAGTCTGGCATACAGCTGCAAGTGTTCCCTGGCTGTTAGCTGGTCATACAAAGCATCAAACTGGGGGCAGTAACCTATGTTCTGCTGGACCTTCAACATGTCTGCATGGATACTGAAATATAGTTATAATAACAATGGTTTTTTTACCAGTCAAAATGAGAACTCAATCAAAGATGTACTAGTCTGCTGGAAAGAAAAAGACAGTTTCAACTGAAAAGTGCCAAACCCACAAGCTCTGACAGTTTCATGGTCACACATCTATAATATGAATGCAAAGGGATAAATGATACAGATATAATAGTTTTCTTATATCCCAAACTAAACCTCATTTTAGACTGCTGTCAAGTTTCACAGTTTCACCCCAATTAGTCACACTAAAACAATTTTTCTAACATACAGATCTTATTTGTTTTTACTTTGGTAACCTTGTCATCATGTTTTACCTGTATCCATTAAGGAAAGCATCACCTCCAGTGGGCTGAATATCTCCTGTCAGCATCTTGAAGGTTGTGGTTTTACCAGCACCATTGACTCCAAGTAGACCAAAACACTGAGGAGAAATACAATGTCATCTTAATAAATCATCTTCATAAATAGCACTAGAAAATTTTGTTTTAAATGTCAGCAAATTCAGAACAAAAATAGTCTTTCATATCTCTTGAGAACAATGGTATCTTAGATAAGAGTGAACTCAGTTTTCTTTACCTCATATTATCAGAAAATATCTGTGTGACATGGACACACACACACACACACTCACACACACACAAACACACACACACACACACATTCAGAGAATCACTGACCTCTCCCTGGGGTACTCCAAGGCACAGGCGGTCCACTGCAAGATGGCGACCTAGTTTTCTCGTCTTGTATATCTAACAAAAATATTTTTATCATATTTTTATATTGTAGTCTTCTCTGGTAGCTGGAATTATTATCACCAATCACGGGTAACATATGCTTATAAATATAAACATACCAATCTTATAACTGTTCAATAAATTACTTGAAAACGGTTTTGCCTTTTGTATTTGTGTGAAAATGTCCACAGTCAAGGTCCAGAGTTTACCTTAGTGAGATTTTCCAGCCTCAGCATATCATTTCTGCCACTGCCTCTGAGCACCCTCTTCCTCTCCGCAGCGACATCCTCATCATCATCTGTGATAACTGAGCTTTCAACTTTAAGACGCCTGAGAAATTAGAAAGTATTGCTTTAGTACATACCACATCATTTTTCTATTAATTCTTATACAACAAATGGGCTAGATTTAACTTTGTTTGCAATGCATAGGTACTACTAATGCACAACTGCTCAGTAATAATGGTTTCTCAACTCACTTGGACTTGATGAAGAACCTGTATTCACACAGAAGTGTGATAATGAAGAAGACAAAGCCCATACTGCCCATAGCAGCCAGGTTCCTAGGTACCAGATCCCAGTCAAAGGGGGACATCACCTTTCCATACTGACCTGTTCAGAAAAACACATGATTTTACAGTTACAAATCAGTGACAGCTACACATACACAGTGTGTATGTACATAAATAGGCTTTTCATGGCCTTTGGATGAGATGATTAAATAGTTTTTCTTGACAGTAATGCACTACCTTTTAATCCACCAGCAATGGACCTTGAACAGGTGAATGGCAATTCCCCACCTCAGTGTGATACTTTGGAAACAAGGTGTCATATACCAGGAAGTTGCTATCATAAACTTCCTTGAATTTATGATCATAGTGTCTCCTTTTCTAGGTGTCCCATTCAGTTTTAAATATTCACTTATTTCATACTAGTCTAGTTTTACATGATATCTTTTACCATTAAATCTATGACTGTTTCACTATTGGCACAGAAACTAGATCAAATTTTGATTAAGAGAGCTAATCAGAGTAGCATCCTACCAGTTCTGTAATAGTACTCGTTGTGGTACTCATTGAAGGCTATATCCATCAGACCTCTTCCCAGGCAATAGTTAGGGAATAGTAAGAAAACTACACTCAACACCTTGTGGACTTCATGAAGATCCTTGAATAGAAAGAACAGATATAATTACATGGACAAACAAAATTACATAGGTAAAAAAAATACTCTCTGTAAATTATACATTTTTCAGATTCAGTTTTGCTAATTACTTTCATAGGATGCAAAGCAAAATCCAGATTAAAATAAACAATTTGCATGAAAAAAGAAATTATCGCTCACTTAATTTACTGAGATACAATTTTTAAACTATGAAATATTTCAATTCTGGATTGAATTGTAATGAAAAGAAGCCTTTCTCCAAAGGTCTACAGTTACTAGACTTAGTTAAAGTTCAACTCTCTTTACCTTGTCATAGTCAAACATGTCCAGTAAGAAGCTTGTGATGATACACGTGATGCCTACGAATAGGTTGATCACGATGAGAAAGATGTATGCTGTGCTGGGCTCCTTAAACACAAAGGAGGCTGGGTACATCAGTGGGGTGATAGACCACCTGAAATAAATGATATATAAACATGTGCAAGGGTTTGGATCATGGCAAAGAAACACATGGCAGTGCACATAAACATGCACACACAACTTCTGAAAAAACTATTTATACAAAACCTTTCATACTTCATACATTTTCCCTGTGTTAAATGTGTTTTACAAAATACATGTGGAAGGAAACAAATAGTATTATCTTTGATAACTGACTTACCCATATAAAAGAAACAAGGAGACCACTGCTGGAAAGTTGGTATCAGAGACATAAGATGGGATGTCAAACACGCGAAGTATGATGATGCAGCAGGACATAGGAATCAAGTAGTTACACTGAAAATCAGCAAAGTATACATTAATATTATTATCAAGTATGAAGATGGTTGGTTGACTTTGCATTTGTTCTTAGAAGGTGCCTTACAGTTTTCAAAATAGTTTAGATATACTCTGAACAAGAAACAATAACATTTTCCCTTGGACAATTTTCAGTATTAGACATAAAAGGCATTCATATACAAATACATACAATTCAGTTCGTTAAAAGAGCAAGTCCCTATTTCTAAGGTTCCACACATTGCATACATTATATACCAATTATTATGCTAATCTGCATGTGCCACGGCGGGTCAGCCTTGACGCTTCCGTCAATGATGGCTATGCTAATCACAGACATATTTTAAAGGTATTTACACACATTAAATATACCAAGGCTGTGAGTTATTATGAAGTTTTTTTACCATATCCCAGATGTAGTTGGCCAGCCAATAGATGACGGGGTCAATGCCGCTGACAAACTGCAGGTGCTTGGACTTGGTGGACCGCTCATATACCAGAAACAACACAAAACTGGCTGGCACAAAGGACATGGCACAGATGATGAAGATGGCGATCAGGACATCTGAGCCTTTCAGGCTGATATGAAATAACAAAATAACATATAATGGTCAAAATAAAGCAATATCAACAGCCAGTCTCTCAACAGAGACCATGTTCTGGAGTTCACTGTTTTGTGCTCCAAACGTGATAGCCAGCCCTCCCCACGTGAGGGCTGGGGGTAGGGGTGAGGGTGGGGTGAAGGTTGGGACGGTCATTTTTTTTTCTGTCAAAATGATACTTATTTTATAATGTATATCCATTCCAACACTGTTGAGAAAATTTAAAAGTATGAACCCATTTTAAAACATTGTCTGCCACACTACTCACATGGACTCTATATTGAGCTGATCATTTGTATTACTCATAGGATGGTTGACGACAGTGATGCCATAAGCTGCTGGGTTCCCTTTCTTCTTGGGCAGATTTGCCCTCAGAATGGCATTGTTCAGAGTGTTCAGATAGGTAGGCATGGAGTGATAGCCCTTCTGGTTATACCAAACCTGAAAAATTAGTATTTTAATTGAACATTTCATGCCTGGAAATTTCCTGTATAGTTTTATATATCATAAGAAATGCCTAAACACTGTTGATGTTCAATATATTTTAGAATAAATTTGAAATTTAATTTGGTTAATGTGTTTACATGGCTTTCTTATTTTTATGCAAACTTTGTAACCTGAATTTTAATTCTAATATTACTCATTGATTAGTTCTACATTCCACATAAATTTTGGCAAATCACCAACCAAAAGACATGTAGCCTTTGCACTGAAATATCACATTGGCAATGATAAAGCAGACACCTCACCTTTGAGACCCTCTTCACAGCGATCTGCCTGAACAAAGGTGGTGCATGCTCTCCAAACCTATCAGGTACGTAATCCCTCTCCAACCCCACGGACACCGCGCCATACCTGTGCAGGCGGAAGGCATTGGTGGTGTGCAACAAGTACTGGGATGTGTCCTGACTGGTGATGTCCACTAAGATGTCACTGGTCACCAGCTTCTTCTCCTCGGGGTTTAAGAAACCAGTGAGTGGACATACAAACCCACTGCCGTCCTTGGCGCAGATGCAGTGGGGGTAAAAATGGGGGCCATCTGGGGAGTGGGTAGCTGAAGTGAGGATTAGAGAGAAAGTTTAGGGGATTATTAAGAATTGTATACATATTCTCATTAGGCAAACACAAACCTGCAACAAAAGCATGCAAGTACATTGGAAGATTACGTGCATATCTTATTTCTTGTGTATGACTGCATAAAAATGTACTTTTTCTTAATTCAGCTAACTACACAAAGTCTCTTTTTTTCTTGTTCATTTTTTCTTATACCAAGGTAAAGGGCAAACATCTATGGCATACTTACTGCTACTAGACTCTGTATCATTGTCCAGCAGGTTCAGGGTGTCTTCATCCACAGGTGGTGCTGTGGGGGGTGGAGGAACAAAATAACTCAGAGGCAGTCCCTTAACAAACACGCTCTCACAGCCAGGCTCAAAGTACTCTGCCAACAGCTTGAATGTCTTCTGGGAATAATTACCCGTCAGAGTACGCGTCAGATCGGCATCAAAGGCATTATTGATTGGTCGCTTGAGGATACAGGTAGCACCAAGTCCTGAAGGCAACATGAAAGTCTGGATGATACTGTCTGCCATCTGTTGAGTTTTGGTCTGCTTTCCAACTGCATTTGGACTGTCTTTGGCTTGGTTGTTGTAAGGCACATAGTTTCCTCTTGGCTGAGTGTAGTTGTAGTACTGAGCTGGACTTAGAGTTAATGGAGGTAGATTGCGGAGCTTTGGTGCCGAGAGGGCTACTGTCATGGCGATTGCAACAAACAAGGCAGGCAGCAAGATCTGGGAGAAGAGGCCCTTCCAGTTTCTTCGTATGTAGTAGAACCGCTTCACAATGACAGCCAGGAGCTGCTGGAACCTCAGCATGCCACCAGAGACTATGTATGATCCTGCCCCAGGGTGTGGCTGGGGTTCATGGTCACTGCCTGCAAATAGTACAACATATGTGACAAGGATGAAGATAATTCTATAAAAAATTCAAAATATCATTTGTAAATGTTTTGTGTCAAATCTCAAAAACAAAATACATCAGGTCTTCCAATAAAAATGTAAAATTTAATTTGAAGTAAATATATTCCTCTCTATGGCACCTTGATAAACCCCTCACCAGCCCCCTCCCCATCACATACTGCATTACATACTAGCTATACTCTGTGTGTCCTCATTCACCAGCCTGGCATACTGGGCATGTGGTCCTGTGTGTAGAGACACATGGTGTATAGAGCCATCACTCCACTGCCTTCTGTGTGCTGAGGTTGTGCCAAGGTCACCCAGCTCTACATCACCACCAGAGGACAGCACCGGCTCCAAGTCAATCATGGCCTCGTCACCATCACTTGCCTGGTTTGTCATGCCGTATGTATCATCTAGGGGAAACTGGATGGTCTGATTTTCTAAGTTCTTCACTTCTTCCTCATCTGAAGCACAAAGCAAGACAATATGCTCAAGTAGTGGTCGAATTATTAATGGACGGGATCATGAACCCACTTCACAAAATAACGTAAGAGCAAAATTTGGTCCAAAATTTTGGACCAGAAATTTTGCTTAATTTGACCAAAGAAATCAGTGGTTGTCAGACTAAACAAAGTATTGCACCTCTTTTATAACAATGAAGACATGGCTGCTGTTTACTTTTTTTTAATGCACTACTTCAGATTTATCCTGAATTAATACTCATATTTGAAGATCAACTTTTGGTCTGAAATTCTTATGTGAGACTGACCAAAGACAACAGTAGCAACCTAGTATCATTTCTTCAAATTATGAATTTCACACACTGTCAGGTGAAAAAAGCAAAAGAGTCAATTCCAAAACCCAAAAACTCCACAACCACTATGCACTCAGGATACCATGCACACTGAATTCACTTCAGCCATACCCAGTTCTGGATTCTTTTTTGGTTTCTCGGTCACTGTTAAGAACACCTCCTCCAGCGACGTGTCCATCACCCCGTAACTGCTGATGTCCAGCTGGTCCAGGTGAGAGTCCAGGGCATGGAACAGCTTCTCAAAGTTTCCCTTCTTGGCCTCTTCAAAGGGCAAGATGTAATGTAGCTCGTGATTGGTGGCTTTGGTTATGTAGGCCGTGCTGACATATTTTTTGACAAACTCTGTGACTGTATCTTCCACACAGTGAGTTATGAAGGAGCTTGAGGGGTGGAATGTATCTGGTTCATCATCTGTGAAAGATAAAGACATGTTTGATAAAATTGCTGCTGAACATATGGCGACATATGCTCTAGAGGTTCTAACCAAACAAATTCACAAGTGCAATATCAATTTGTGAACCATGTCTAATAATGAATTCGTTTTGCCAAAGTAAGTGTAAAACACTAAAGGCTCCATTTTTCAGATTTATTCTATAATTTGTGGCTCAGTAAGTTCAGGTATAAATTAGGGATAAAAATAAAATAATGAGCCAACAGCACCAAATATTTCCCAACTTGCACAATAAAAAAAATCTACTGTTACAGTATTACTGCATTTAAGTCACTCAGATTAACAATTCATGATAGAACATGAGAAGCAAAAACAACCAGATAAACTGGGGGCATTAAAAAGACTCACTGATACTATGAGCATCCACTTCAGAGGGCTTCTTGACCATTTTCAGATGGTACCCATCCCCAAAGGTACTCTTTAAGAACAGAGATGACCCACAACACTTGAGCTGACCACTAGAGATGATGGCTATCCGGTCACCCAGGAGGTCAGCTTCATCCATGTAGTGAGTTGACAGGAGCACAGTACGATCTGGAAAACATCAGAATGTATTTCGTTTTACCAGTGTTATATTCTTATTGCAGCAGTACAGCCAAACAAATCTAAAATTTACCTTCTTCTTAATATTCTAACAGTTTGATCAGCATCTCTTTATATTAACTTTCAAGGCAGACTCAGTCTGTGCCAAAACCTTTTTAGTCTACAGGCAATTCAGGACACCAGAGCCTAAGAATTTACAAACCCAAGCGCAAACAGTGTCCATCAACAGAACAAAGGTATAAATTTTCCTTTCCAGCCCCTGAAT